ACCTTGGAGACCTCCACCGTCATTTTACGTGTCAGGCGCAGCGTGGCGAATGTGGAATTTTGTGACATGTGATGACACTCCACACTTTACACTCTACAGTCTACATTCTGCACTCTACATTCCCCACGCTACACTCCAAACTTCACACTTTACACTCCACACTTCAGGTTTTACACTTCACATTTTACACTTTTCACCTTACACTTACAATCTACACCCTACCACACACTGCACTCCAAAATTTCACACTTTACGCTTTACACTTTACACTCCGCACTCGAAACTTTACAGTCCAAATTCTGGTTAACCTCCTGGAAGGATTATAAGATTGCCATTTTGGTTCACGTGGGTGCAATTTTGGCTCAAGTGGGTGTATTGGAATTTCAAGACGAAGGGTGTTGAATGAGACGCAACAAGATCCAGCATTCCCTGCATCAGCTTTGGCTTTGGATACACCAAATGAGAACACGGAGGCCCGTCACGTTTCAACCATCGCCAGCCTGGTGATGACAGACTTTGCAAGTGGATACATGCATGTGACACCACTTAGGAACAAGAATCAATGGAGCATGGTTCAAGAGTTTTTGACGTTTGCTGGCGTTTTGGGATATGCTGAGTTGACCTTCAGGTGCGACAACGAACCACGTTGTTACAACTGCAGCGCTATGTGATCAATGCAAGGAGATCAATGGGTTTGGTGACACACAAAAGCTCGCCACCATCTTACTCACATTCCATTGGTTTGGTTGAATATGTTGTGGGCCGAATCAGGCCGCTTGCTGGGACCCTCACATGGCAGAACAGCTTGCAGTTTAATTTTCAAGCGACAGTCCTTGGTCTTGGGTGCTCAGACATGCGGCATGGCACATGGATCATCCATGCGAAGGAATTCACTGGAAAGCTTTGCAGATTTGGTGAGCCGGCGTTTGGATTTTCAAGGGTGGAAGGCAAAGGCATTGCGAAATGGAGGCGAATGTTGTTCATTGGAAAGACGGAGCCGCATGACTTACGTATCTTGTTTGATGGAAGTGGCTTGATTTTGACAAGAAGTGTGCGGAGGATTGACATCAGCTGGAAACCGCATTTGAAGTACTTCATGACTTTTGCACATTGGAGTTGGGCGTGCGAACCTGGATATGGCGGTAGGGTGCTTCCTACGAAGTCTTCATAGACAGCGCTGGGTGCAAGTTACTCTGGACCAGTTGGCATGATCGAGCCAAGTCCGTGCGCGGACGAGAACGCAGAGACAGTTCGCCAGAAACACTTGGAAGAGGTTGAACCAATGAAGTTTCGCCATTCATGACAAAGTGTTGCATCCACACAAGTTTCCCCGCAACATGTTTCAGCTTACCAGGCCCCAGCTTCATTGCAATCTGGCTTGCTGATGATGAGCCAACCAGAAGATAATGATCTATGTTTGAATCAACTGAAGAACTCAATGCAGCGGCGAAGATAGATGCCGTCACAAAGATTTAAAGTCATTGCGTGAAGTTCGTCCTCGCAACTGCTGAGACTGACAACCCTTTGAGTGCGGCCGCTGGAGAAAAGAAATCCGCCATTAAGGATATGGACTCCGCAAGATGTTGACCTCCTGTGTGATTGATGGCTTGACCAATCTGAGTCAGAGAAAGATTCCAAAATCCAGTACTTCTCACTGGACTTCCACTTCCTTTGTCCACAAGTCGGAAAATCCAACATCATGCGCCAATCACAGGTTGCTTTCAAATATCCGATCAACTTCCGCAAACGTCCAAATGCTGAGCATGTGGGTTTGCTCATTGAACTGCTCAATTCTTTCATTGTGTAAAGGAGGTCGGGTCTATCCCGTGACAAAAAGAGGAGAGTGCCAATCACCGATCTGAAGACATGAGAATTTGCTGCGCTCAAAAGGTCGCTTCGATCTTCTGTTTGGACGCAGCTGTCGCAAGGAATGGATTGTGAACGCGTTCTTCCAAACTTGGCCTCAAACGTTTCAATCACCTTTTTCAACTCAAGTTCCAGGGGTGGGTGCAAGGCCAGTGTCAACGCGTTTCAGTGTCCTTTTCAAAAATTGAATTTCACTTCTAACACCTTGCAATTGTGAATGGCTGATGGGATATTTCTCTCGCAGTTTCTTCAAGAAAATGTTGACCCAATAGTCCGCATCACCACAAAACATCACATCGTCAACATGCACCATCACGCAACAATGTTGATTTCTCGCAAGACAAGGGCTGTTCTGTGCACCATGACATGCCAAACTCAGTGGTAAGGCTCTCACGAAATGCTTAATACCAAGCACGAACTCCAAGACGTTGTCCTGGCAAGTCCTTCCTGACCTTATAGGTCTTTCCCAGCAAAGTCACGGCCATTGGGGCCTGCTGATCAACCATGAGAAATGCATCTTTGATGTCCACCGTGCCCAACACTACTGATTCGGCATTGCTGTTGCTGTCACGTTCAAAAGCACCAGACAACCTTTGGAGGTACAGCACCGGTAGCAAATTCAAAATGTGAGTGGAAATTGCAGGCTGTAGGTATATGGTGTTTCTCCAAACATGACACTCTCTGGCAACAAGACGAGATCTGCGCAACCAACGCTTGCAAACACCTCCGTTTTCTTTCACATTTTTTTTTGCACGCCAGTCCCTCACAAATTTGGTAGAGAGGTGCTGCTCCTGTCCAAGACTACTTTTGTCAACTTCCTCCAACACATGCATGCCACATAAACGTGAAAGCTCCACCTGGTCAACCAGGTAGCCCATGTCACCCCCAGGCTCTGCAGGTTTCTTATCCAGCGGGGCGTCTGACCAAAGTTCATTGGGAATTTTGTCAAACTTGATTTCATCTTCGTCAAACCATGCATCACCCAAGTTGTGATCATCCAGTCGCAAATCAGTTTCGTATTCATCCATTCTGTAAAGACTGTCCTTTGCAAACTGAACAGCACGAATCTTGGACGCATACTCTTGGCTAATGCGCTCGATTCATTGTGTCTTAGAAGTTTCAATTCGCGCACGTTTGGATTCTTGTTCATCTGTTTCAGCATCATGAGATCTTGTAGAAGCACTTGCGCGTGGAGTGGCTGGTGCAATGGGAATCACTTCAGGAGCCGTTGGTTCATGCAAGGGTAGCTTGAGGATTTGATGACATGGGAGGCAAAACTGGCTGTGGAACATGCGCAACTTCAACAGCACCATCATCACCAAAAATGTCCTCCAGTGGAACAACAGGTGACTCAGGAGCAATCAATCTCCTCCTGGGACAAAGCTGCGAGTAGTTGCGCTCGATCATGTGCAGCCATTTTATTCGTTTTTTTTCTAAAGGACGCATATGACAGCTATGAAAAGAATTGCGCTGACATTGCCATCATGGAACCCTTGGTTGAGAAGCTTTTCCGAGAGCTGCAGCAATGTCAAGCCGATTTACAATGAGTTCAGGCGTCTCACAACGAACTCCAAGGAGAATTGGAGATGCTTTGTGACTCTGTGGAAAGCGTGCGGTGGGGTTTGATTCACATGGGAAGTTTCACAAATTACCATTCTTTGAACCCCATGCTGCGCCAGCAAATGTGCGCCACTGAGCGTGCTAACCTCATAGCCTCTACCTGAACACTGAACACCATCATGAGCCACAAGCAAGGTACTGTTTTTGATGGTGATGGCACTGACATGGGTCAGGAAGGAACCGAGCCAGAAAGTCCCGAATTGGATCCAGTGATAAATCCTTCAGAAGGAGATCTGCTTGCACAGAAGGTTCGTCTGCATAATATTCCATTTGCTGAACAAACAGACCAAGCCCGCCCAAGACTTCAGTTTATCCCTGGCATTGACAATCATAGAATTCTGTGGTTGCGCAATTGGTTATGGGTTTCCTGAGGCTTGAGGCTGCCGGGGGCTTGTTTATTGGATGGCTGCCTATGGGTTGGGGCGTGCTCCATATCCTGGTGTTGGTGGCTATTCTGGTGAGTGTGTGCTCTTTGTCCGGTTAGGGGGCACTAGGTCTCTGTTCACAAGACTGAGACTGAAAATGCGGGAAGAAAAAAAACATAACATAGCTCAGACCTTCCGGAACGAATTGAATGATAATTTTCGAAGGGAAAGCTGGCACGACGCAGCTGCTTTCCAACATGCCCTCATGAGCCTCCTTGACAATGTAAATCAAAATCTTCAGTTTTTGAACCGAGATGTTAGAAGGGAACTTTTCCGATACCTCGCAGTGCAGATTCAGCAGATTGCAGATCGACAGCATGCGCCTTCAATCCGCGAAAGGTACTTGCAATATGTAAACCAGTTGAGAGAGATGGGCGAGATGGCATTAACCTAAGGTATTGCATGCCGGGGAATGAACTCCCCGTTACCATAATGCCAGCTTCTTTAATGCCTGGGAATGATGGCAACTCCCAGTGACGATAATTCCACGTGTTTGCAAAGCAAATCCTAGGTTGAAAATTGAAAAGGAAATCCAAAGCAGAGAAAATTTCAAAAAATGCAACAAAGCGCAGTGGCGGTGAGATGTGAAAGAAAGAGCCGCTGGTCATTGTTTCAAGGAGGAGTTTGAAACATTTGCAGCAGTGCTCACAGTCTGCATGGACCCTGCGCAAGGATGACATTTACTTTGGAATGAAAATTGAATCCACTCATTTTCACATTGGCATGAAACATTCATTGCCTGATCGTGAGGCCCTCTGGCCCAAAGAAAAAGACGTGCCCCGTTTGCTGCCAACGGTTTCGCAGCTTCCGGTGTCCCAGGCTCCAGCTGAGACCACCCGTGGAACTGCTGCCTAGGTACATCCCTCAATGAGGACCACAAGATCACCCTGTTGTGCCACCTTGGGGTCCATGAACAGATTTTGGATTGCATCCCAAACACCAATGTGCCTCTGGCGCCTATGCCCGGGACCTTGCACCTATGATTTTTGCGAGCATACTAGCATCACCGTTTTCGCCGTGCCCTTCCCCACGTTGCCTTGGCGACACTTCGCATTAGAGGCTCGATTGGCCCATCAAGAGCGTGAATTACTACGTTTGAATCATGCCGTTGGCCGCCTCGTTGAGACCATCAGAGCCTGGCTGAAGCATTTGAACTGGTTTTGCACAACGCCTCTTCCTTGGAGCGTCTGTGTGGGTGACCTGAGGGCTGACGGAGTTTGTACCACATCATTTTTCCCTTTTTCAAGTAGATACATGATATGCGACTGAACGGACTCACAGCAGTCATCCTGGTGGCCATTTCCTCTATAAAATGGTCGCGCCCGGGTACCCTGCTAAACCATTTTTTTAGGCACTATAAAATGGAAAACAGAATGTTTGGAGTGGTTCTTGCATGGTTTATCAGGATATGTTTTGTTTTTTCTTTTTGGGCAAGTACTATTTTATAGAGGCCATTTGGGGTCTTACTGCAGGAAAGCTGTTCATTTAGTAGGGGTGGCACAGGCCTCCACTTTATAGCACAATGTTGGCTGTGCAATGTTGTGGTGCTATTTTATAGATACTGTGTTTCCATGTGTGGTGTGGCTGAACTTCCACTTTATAGAGTGCCTGTTTGCATTGTTTTTTTGAAGGTTTTGTATTAACATGTATCAACACAGTTTGATTGCAGCGGTATAAAGCGGTATGCCGTCCGCTGCAGCAATGCCAGCAAGCTTAAAATCTGCACTATATGTCTTTATAAAACGGTAGAAGAACATCTCTTTTCAACCAGGACCGCTATAGAATAGAAAACTGCACTATATGTCGAACAACCCCTCTTTTCAACCAGGATCACTATAGAATAGAAAACTGGATTCTTGGGCAGGTAGCCTTAGACGGGGAGAGATCAGGGAAATGCCAGGGTAGACAGCCAAATACAGTTGAAAAGAATCCAACAGAATAAACGATGATCCAAAAAGTAAATCCATTATGTAGAGATATGTAGGGTACTGGGAGCAGTCCAGCCAACAAACTTCCATTTTTATAGACAGAGAAGTGGGATATATACAGCCTGAGAACACGGGAAGAAAAAATTGGCTGGAGCCTGCTGCAGACTTGTGATTTGCCACTTTCACCTCTATGAAATAGAATCCAACCAGAGACAAAAATGCAATGAAATGCAATGAAATGCATGAGTTCCATCAAGCTGGAAAATGGTTTTTGCGACTGGCTTGGGCAAGGAGCATTTTATAGAGATGATTTTGGAAGCCTTGCTGAGAAGTGTGGTTTGCAAAAATGAAACCTGGATACCTTCCAGTTTACAGGCCTGTGATTCTACAAGTGTACCCCAAGGAGTACTTTATAGAGGGAGTACCCCCCTGACAAACCATTTTAGCATTATAAAATGGCAGCTACCCAGGTTCCACCCCCAATTTACACATGGATCAGCAATCAAAGAACTGTTCCCATCAAATGTGTTCCAATCTTTACGTGGCACCTGGACATCACAGGTTAGACCGTTTTACATCCGGATATTTCAGACATAGACAAACGTGTGTAGGCTGTGTCTGAAAGCACTACCAATGTGGCACATTTGACCGCATGTTGGTGGATTTTTTTCTGCGTTTCATAGTTTCAGCCTGCAATTATTTTCCTTTCCGCCCTGGCGCGTTATCTTTTTCTTTTTCAAACGTGCAACTTGACAAAACTGTTTTGGTTCTTGACACCCATCATGTGGTTCCTTCCGAAAAACACAGACACACACACACAGAGAACAACATGATTACTTGCTAATTTGCTTCCTCATTGTTTTAAGTATTGAGACGGAAAAAATGCAGCAAACCCTTCTGTGTGGTTTTATTCCCTTCAATCCGGGTTCTTGGTGCATGTTGGGTTTACTACAAAATGGGTATTTTGAAATTGACTACACATATCGGTTTTGGATTTTTTAAATTGTTCTGGGCCCATCAGTGCCAATTTTTTGTCTACAAATTGGGTCCTAGATAATAGCCGAAAACATTTAAAAACAGCCTTTGAAAACCACCTTGATCAAGAAAAAACAGAATCAAAACCTAGTTTTAACCCCTTTTTGGTACTCATTTTGTAGTGAAAAAAATATCCAGGGCCCGGATTTAGTTGAGAAAGTTTCCAGGCAACCCATTTTGTAGACTCAGGCCCGGCATTTTGTAAATGCAAGCGGGAACGGACTTTTCTCCAGCACTAAAAACCTGACGACATGGCCATGTAATTCACATGCCAGTGAGGTGAAAAATTCGTTACACTTCTCATCAAGATTTGTGCTGTGTCATCCATGATTGCGGCCAAAATTCATACGCACTCCTCCTGATGCTGCCGCACTTTTCCTTCCGCCAAATTTCAGCGCTGATCGCTGAATTCTCACTTCCAGAAAGTTCCACTGTGAAAAAATTGATTTCAGTTTCCACGGTTTTTGAATTTCGCCTCCACCCTGCCATAGTGCAAAGATGTCTGCAACCTGTTTGCTCTTGCACGCTCTGCCAGTCGTAGAAATAAGTCTGCCGCCTTTTCTTTGTACTCATTCAACAGACTGTCACTGGTTCCACCACGCACTGCAGTCAGCATGGCCAGAATAAGAGATTGCATTTGTGCCGCATCTCTCACATCCTCACGCTGAATTGCAAGAACATGTTGTTCCTTAACATCTTCAACCAATTCCAACATAAATGGAGGTTGTTGCTCTCCATCATCAACCATCTCGTCGTCGTCTGAAGTTTCTGATTTTGTTTCGTCATCATTGTTGTTTTCCACATTGGCATCTGCATCATGGACAGATGGCATATCAGTTGTATCTGCATGTTCAGCTCTGGCACATTGCCTGACCAAGCGCAGGTATTGTTCTGAGCCCATAGCTCCATGAGCTACCAGATTTGCACGTTCATCTGTTGCCAAACCTGTCCACTGGTCAGTTGTAAGCCCAAAGCCAAAACGCAGAAAACCACCACTCTCAACCAAACCATAATGCAAACCACACGCATAATCATGCAGCATTGAGCGTTCGTTGCTTTGTTCCACCAAACGTCCATCATACATCATCAATCGATTGTGCAGTTCATTGATCCTTGTTTCTTGCTGGGAATGTACCCATCTTCATCTGCCACTTGATTCCAGCAATGGAAGAAATCTTCTTGCATTTGCTTCATAACTGTCCCTTGCTCACTCAAACGTTTATTGAATTTCCTCCAAGCAAGGTAAAAGGCCACCGCAAGAATCACCACCAAAAAACATAACAAACAAATGGCAAACCAACGACCAGAACTGTTGTGTTCAACCGCCTTGATGTCCTTGGAACACATGTTCACAACTTTTGTTTCCGCCACCAAAGACACAAGGCTTTGCACTCCAAGAATCAGACTGATCCTCTTGATGGTTTTGCCAAGTTTGCTCAAAGGCTTTCGATTTTCATTTTGTTCTGCAGCAGCATAATACTCCTCTTGACCAATGGGTTCTGCCGTCAGTGGATCAACTGCACCAATTCCACAAAGGAGAAAGTAGAGCCGAGACTTGCTGAGGTTCTTTGTTCCCACATCACTGTAAATCCAGAAAATTGGAACTTGGGAAACCTGGACCTCTCCCAAACGCACCAAATCCTGGAGCCATAACAGCTTTGCTGAGGGATGGCGTATGCGCCCTACTCCCTGTCTGGAAATCAGTTGGCGTGCTGCAGAGTTGTCTGTGTAAATTGGTGGTGCTCGATTTGAACCTGCAGGAGAAATTCCAAACAGTTCCTCACAAATATGGCATCGCATGCTCCAGAGATATCCAGAGATCATACTGTGGAGGTCAGATTCAGCTGAGCTGAAAGAAACGACGCGCTGGGACCCACTGCTTGCAAAAACGAAGCACCCATTGACAAACAAAACTGAGCAATTCCTACTTCTTCGACTTGATTTGTTTCCACACCAAGCTGCATCTGTGAATCCGTCAAGCAACCAAAAGGCTTCTGTGCCCTTCTTCCACTTTCCTGCTCCATGTTCAGGCCAGTCAAGTTTGATACCTATGTTTCCTGAGCTCTTGCGGTATCCAATCAGCTTGCGCAAACGCTGAACTGAACACAAAGTTGGAGCTGCCATGAAAGAGGACAATTCCTTGACGCTGAACATGATGTCGACCCTGTCACGCGACAAGTACAGTAAAATGCCAATGATGTTTCTGTAGTTTTTTGCGTCCTTTGCACCCAACAACTGTGAACTGTCATCCTGTTGAGCTGCTGCATCACATGGAATCTTCTGCAAACGTGCATGCCCAAAAAACTGTTCAAAATTTGCCACAACCTTGGAGACTATGGTTCCTGGCACAATCACGAGTCCATCGATGACCCTGATCAAACGACGTTTCAGAAAGCTGATCTCTGTTCTTGGCTCTCCAAGTTCACTGAAATTCATATGGAATTTCTGCTTTATCAAAGGCAGAAACACCTGAGACCAGAACTGACGTCGACCTGTGAATAGAAGATCGGCCACATGCAGCATGAACACATTTCCCTGACAACGTGCAAGAAAGGGCTGAACTGCGCTCCAATCAAATCCCAGTGCAGAAGTTGCATATTGGCGGAAATGCCAATACCAGGCCGTTGCTCCCAGTCTCTGTCCAGGGAATTTGTTCAACACCACATACTCTACACCATCCAAAATAACCGCAACAACATGCTCTTGAGAAAAGCATCCTTGATGTCAAGCGCAGCAAGAATCACACCATACTGCTCATCATTCAAACCGCTCATTTTAAGTTGTTTCAACATCTGCAAGACAATGACTGGTATGAGATTGGAGGTGTGACATCCAGTGGCTGGTGAGTACACATCATCACGCTTTGTTACTGCAAACTCTCTTGCCACAAACCTTCTGCGTCCCATCCAACGTTTGACGCTGGAGACCTTGGCACTTCCATCACCTTGCTGTTCACCTTTCACTTCATAGGACTTCAGACGCCAGTCATACACAAAACGTGTTGTCAGAGAACCTTCAACCATGCCATCAAAATCACAACGCTTTTGCAACAGTCCCATGCCAAGCAAACGTGAGATTTCAACTTGGTCTGCAAGTTTGTCAATCCAAGGACCGGGAGGACCTGGAGGAACATCGATGGGAGCATCTGACCACAGCTGTTCTGGCACATCTGAAAACTGAAGCGCGTCCTCATCATGCCATATGTCATCATTCTGAAGGGCATCATCTGCAAACTCAATGCTGGGGTCATGCTCATAGTTATCCATCGTATGAAACTCCCTTTCACCAATTTTCACAACACGAATCATCTTCTCAAGAGAGCCACGCAACATTCCAATCCCCAACTTCTTTTGAACTTCAACTTTGGCCTTCTTCGATTCATGGCTGTGGTTTTCGTGTCCACCTTCATCATGAGCACGGCTTGTAGGTGAAACACGAGGACTTGCAGGAATTGGAACTGCAATCACTGGAGGAGTCATGGGCACATGCTTTGCATCCTCTTCTGCCAACTCACGTTCCATCTCGCCAGAAAGCTAATGTCAATTTCATCGTTTTGCAGCTCAACTGGGACGTGAGGCAACCCAGCCGAGAAAGCAGGAACAGCAACTGTTGGTGCTGCACTTGGACCAGGGGCTTCTGCTGACTGATGCAAGGCTTGTTCACGCCTACGCTGAAGCATTGGATCCTCCTTGCCCATTGCACTGACTTCAGATTCTTCTTTCTTCTCCTCATCAGCCTTTCGTCTGACTGCTTCCCCATCTGCATCATAAAGCATTGAAGGAAAAACTGGTCCAACAGGTGGCTGAGCTGCCTGAGAAATGGGCTCAACTGTCCTCTTGGTTGGAATGATACGTCCTCCAAATCCAGGTTTGAACTGCCATGTTGGGGCGTTGAAGTGGATGTAGAATCCCAAATGGGATTTCCAATCACATTGGATTCTCCTCACCCTCACCAACACCACGAACGAGTCTTGGCATTCTGCTTTTCCAAGCATGATCACGCGCTGCCATTTTGCATTGCCCTTGTGAGCCACATTGACATAGGCAAAGATTGGTTCCCCAAGAGAAACAAGGTTTCCTTGATAGGGCTTGGAGTAAACCAGCTCATATGGCGTAACGCCGTGCGTCACAGAGAAACAATTTAACAGCCAACTGGCATGACGCATCGCCCAAGACCAGATGCTGTTGCTTGTATTGAGTTCCAAGGAGATCTTCTCTTGCAACTGAAACATCAGGGAACCTGCAAGGCTGCGCATTCTTCCAACTGTATTCTCGCACAAACTGTTGCCATGACTGTATGCAGCTGGAGTATGCTGGAGTCTTGTCATGGGTTGCAAGTCCCTGTGCAAGACGGGCACGCACAGCTCGAGCCTGAACCTGTCTAATGCTAGGCTCGTTGTCACACAAGTAGCAAATTTCCCCATGACCAAAAACCTGGGTGAACTGCAAAAATTCACGCACCATCAAGTCAAATTGCGATTTTGCCTTCACTGGCACCCATCCTGTGTAGTTGGTGTGGGAATCCACCATTATCAACGCAATCACCTGGTCTGTATTTTGCACTGTACCATCAGCAGCTTCTGCACGTGTGTATGCAAAATCAAAGCTCACTGTGGGAATCTCACCGCGTTTCACAGAACCATCTCTGGCTTGCCTGTCTTGACGACTTCTGTGGGCAACGCAAGCTGCACACCAGTCCTTGAATGGCACGTGGGTGAGATTGTGGAGCTGCTCCTCCTCTGATGGAGGCTCCGCCAGGTGCTGAGGTTTTGGAAGGCGTTGTTGAGATGCCTCTGCCTCTCTTGCTGCAGCTAGCGCCATCTGCAATTCAAACTTCTCCTAAAAATCCCACAAGCGCTGAAAACATCTTGCTTTGCCACCAGAAGATGAAAGATGATAGATAGAATAGAATGAACACGCTTCACGCATCGTTGCAAGTGCTGTGTTTCGATAAAGCGCAACACCATTCACAGAAAGGCGATCATCCCTCTCAGGGGCAAGAACAAGCTGCCCATGAATTTCCATTCCACCTGCATCTTCATGCTGACCATCAATTTCAACTCCAACAATTGCATCTTCATCCTCTGGGGCCAGCGGCGCTGCAACATCGATGTCAACTGCATGAGCCTGAGGCATCAAAGGTTCCTCACCTTCACCAGGCAAAAGAAATCCCATGGCCTGCGCAGCATCTGTGATGATTGCAAGCACATATCTGACATTGCCATTGAAGCCATGAAATTCAGATGATAAATCAATCAGAGTTTCCATCGGTTCACAAAGTTCCATCACAAGCCACTGACCACCATCTCTGACCAGAGTTGTTCGATACTTTGAACCTGCCATTGATTGATGGACACACAACCGTGGGGTCCTGAAAGCAGTTTGCAAAGTGTTTGCCACGTCCAACACATTGTGCATTCAACTCCCAACAAACTCTCATGCCAGATAAATCCTCAACCACATCAGCTTTGACCACACGTTTGGAAAAAGGATCAGGCTGCTGAGGCCGCTCACGCAAAACTCTCACCCATCCCCTGACATTGAATGATGCTGGAGTTCAATTGGAATCTGAATGCCACTTCCATGGGTGAGTGTTTGTTCCTGTCCATTCACTCTCAGCCGCTCTCAAGTAAATGACCAAGACAAAGAATGGGTTGATGTATCTGACTGCTAATGGCAACGGTCTCCTTGATGACAATGGAACGGCCATGGACGTCGGCCAAATGCAATTGCACGTCTCTCATCCCCTGAATTGGGATGCTGTTTCCCTGAGCGTCCTGCAGCCTGGACTTTCTGGACGATCTGATTGAATACCAAACTCTGCCATGCTTGCAGGGAAAATGCTTGCATCTGCACCGCTATCCAGGAGAATGTTGCACATGCTGGTGTCTTCAGGAATGCTTTCTACTATGGCTCTCACTGATCCATTTTCACAACAACTGGGCTCATCACCAATGTAGTACTTCAACACACGCACTGATCCTTCATGACGACTTGCATTGCTGGCAGGGCTGCGCAAATCAAAAACTACTTCACCATGTCTTGAAACTTGAAACATCTGAAGCCTGCTGAAACTCAACCTCATGAATTCTTGCAACCCTGAATTGAGTTGCTGACTGTTGCTGAGCGCCTGAACTTGGGGTTCCAACTGCAGTAGAGCTTGGAGATGACTGCGATGTCTGTGAAACCTGAGGATGCGGTAGTTGTTGACCCTTTGACTGCACAACTCGAACATTGGACGCCCAACAGTCACGTGCATAGTGCCCTGGTTTGCCACAACGATGGCACACTTCATTTGTACGATTTCCTTTGCCCTTGTATACAGTGGAATCATTTGACTTCCCACCTGATTTGCCTTTCCCGTCTCCCTTCTGCTTGCCCTTGGCGTTGGACTTGCCATCACCTTTGGACTTTGACTTCGATTTTCCTCTGCCCTTTTGCTGGCCTTTCTGTTGCCACCTTTTACCTTTGTCTTTTCCGCTTTTCTTGCCAGTAGAGTAAATGCGATCAACTTCCATGGGTGCAGCTGTAGAAGAAGTTGGTTCATCTGAAAACAAAAGCCCATTCCAACGCTGCTGACTTCGATCCCAACGCAACACATGGTCTCTAAGTTCAGCAAACGTAGTTGTCTCCTGAATGGCCAAATTGAGGTGCGTCCTGAGCTGACCTGTAACGCACTTGCGCAAGATTGCCTGCTTGAGTTGGTCAGGAATTGTCGCACCAGCCTTTCGAGCCTCTTCCAGAGCATCTTCCAGCTTTAAGAGCTGAGGCTGCAGCTGTTGGCCAGCTTGTCAAAGCTGACATCAAGGCCAAACATCTGCCGCTACTTCATGGCCTAAGCGCCAGTGTCAACTGACGCAGAGCTTCATATCCATCTGCATTCTTCACACTTCTCACAATATGTAAACTTCGATTCCTGAAAGTGATGCAAGCAATCCATACAGCTTAGCACTTCGATTGCGTGTTTCTGCTGAAGCTGCTCCAAGGTCAAATGCATGGGATGGATCATCCATCAACGACTGAAGCTCCTTCTCGTACCCACTGTCAATCGCATTCAGGAACTGTATCAACTGCCAATTCCAATCCCTGTAGGCACGGATTTCATCCTCTGAGGACTTGTAGTAGTCGAATAAAGCGGGCTTATTCAACAGTTTTGACCACTCTACGTTCTGCGCATTGGAACTACTTGGGCTGGAGCTTGGAGATGCCACCGCTGTCTGTTCAGGCGCATTTTGTATGGCCTGGGCTGCTTGTGCAGCGGCCTTGGTGGCCTCCGCCACCTCCAGTAGTGCAGCCTGAAATATAGCTGGATCAAAACTGGTCATCCTTTCAACTGGGAACCTTCACAAAGAGCTCGTCAAGCAATAAACGCAAGCTGAAATCACAATTGCACACCAAGCAAATGATTGTAAATTGCACAACGTACAAGCTGTTCCACCAACACCCTGTCACTGCCCCAATGCCAGAAAATGCAACAATTGTATGAATGCTAATCCAGGAAATTGTACTCAAACCAAAAATCCCGTAAACAGTAAATCCCAATGTGAAGTTGCAATCTGTCCAAGTCAGAGTGAAGTCACAAGCCACGCTTTCAAATTGTGCACCTACCACAAATCCAGCAAGCAAAAATCACACCACGTTCCCAGAAAATTGCCACTTGTTGATTCTATCAACTGCCAATTCCAGTTCCAGACCAAAGTCAATGGCTAAGCAAGTTGCGCAGAAGGATGAACGAAAAAGTGCTTACAGGTAGGAAGCGCTACCATGCAAGCGGGACCGGACTTTTCTCGAGCACTAAAAGCCTGACGATATGGTCATGTAATTCACATGCCAGTGAGGTGAAAAACTCGTCGCACTTCTCATCAAGATTTGTGCTGTGTCATCCATGAGTGCTGGCAAAACTCATACGCAGTAAATAAAAATGCCGGGGTCACTACTAAATGGGTGGCTCCAACCCCACCCCCCAAAAGCAAGGGTGATGGTATTGGTGGGTAGCACTGCCCTTTTGCCCTCCGAAGCCATCATGCATAATGACCGCATAGTGATCTTTGTTGACAACAATGCAACTGAGCAAGTTAGTGACTAGAAAGGGATGAGGAGAAGTTGACAATCGTATGTTCCAGGCAATCCTGGGTTGGGAATACAGGCTCCATTTGCTGGTGTGAGCGTGTGCCCTCAACGGCGAACATAGCCAACAGCCCATCACGTGGAGACAAGCCTGGATGAGACCTGGAATTGAAAATTCCAATTGAAATCACCGATGCTCTTGTCCTGATGCCTCTCTGATGTAGAGAGTGGGGGAAGGATGCAGACAGACGAAATCCCCATGGACAAAAAGAATGATAGCATGCCGCAGTGTTGATTGTGAGTTGCTGAAAGCTGAAACAATAAGATCCCCCACCTTTTTAAAATGTATGGAGAGGCAGAGGGGCAGCTCACCCCTCAGAGGAATACATTTTTGGTGCTTCCCAGATATTGTTTTGTGCTGGTGCAAGGCAGGTCCCCCTCAGGTTTCATTCAATCAAAAATAATAATGTATAAACCTTCTTGACACCTCTTTCCGCCGCCGGGTTTGGCCACCTGCCCCCCCCTCCCTTTCATACATTTGATGAAAATGTATGAACCGGGGGGAGGTGCATACATACGGAAGGCAGGGGGGTACAATAGGGTTAACGGTTAACCTCCTGAAAGGATGTTTCATTATTGTGACAGTGTGATAGAGTGGGAATGTCACACGTCAACTCACTCATGTACACGCTTGGCATGTTTGTTGCGTTTCCTCTCATTTACGCATTTTGGGTCAAAGTGGGGGCATTGGAAATCAACACAAAAACCCACCCGCCCATAACCCTCATGTGAAGCATTCTTCATTCCATACGCCTTTTATCATGTGCACTTTTCATTGTTCTAAGTACATCTCTGTGTTACATCACCCTGCCCATGTTTGTGCCGCCTGCATTACAGCAGCTACTTGATCCTGTCTTCCTTGCTGACCGCCAGCTCTTTGCACTTGATGATTCACTTCGCACCCTGATCGACATGACTGATACCCTCGAGGACTTGGATGTTCCAGCTGCTGTGCGCCCAATTGCAGCAGACTATCAACGCCCTGGAGCACACCATTTTCCATGTCAAGATTTGCAAGCTCCATCATGTTGTACGCCTTCACCGTGCCATTCAACGTACTTGGCGTCAGTGGCATACTGCCCCCGCAGTGGAACTTGAAGTGGATCCCCCATTGGCATGAGTTTCGCTCAGCGAACTGTCCTCAATTTTTACGGCAGACATGTCGCAAATGAGACCAAGTGGTCCATTCACTTCTTATCAGTGTGACAATTCTCTTTGTCCCTAGCAGAGCCGTACAGGATGCAGACAGGCGAAATCCCCATGGGCAAAAAGAGTGATAACATGCCGCAGTGTTGATTGTGAGTTACACTTTGCACTCCACACTCCACACTTTACACTCTACACTTTACATTGTGCACTCCACACTCTACACTTTACACTCCAAACTCGACACTCTACACTCTTCACTTTACACTCCACACTCCACACTTCACACTCTACACTGCACACTCTGCACTCCACACTCCTTACTTTACACTCCACACTCCACACTCTACATTTTACAATCCACACTCCACACTCGACACCTTACACGCCACACTCTACACTCCAGACTCTACACTCCACACTCTACACTCCACACTTTACACTGTACACTCCACAATTTACACTCCACACTTTACACTTCACACTTCACACTTTACACTCCGCACTTTACACTTTACACTCCACACTGCCACACTTTAGACTCTACACTCCACACTGTACACTTTGCACTCCACACTCCAACCTCTACACTCTACACTTTACACTCCACACTTTGCACTTTACACTTCCCACTCTGCACTTTATACTTTGCACGTTGCACTCCACACTCTACATTTCACACTTTCCACCCCACACCTTTCACTTTACACTCCTCACTTCACACTCTACGCACTACATTCCCAATTCAACACTTCATTTTCTTCACACCCCATACTTTGCACTCCACGCTTTTCCAGATTCCACAGTCTACAGTGCGCTGGTACGGCAACAGGGGGGAAAAGTACAAGACTGTTCAAATAATTTGTTGCGCAAAAGTGTTTTACGTGACTGCATTCGGGTTCGTGGGATTCTTCTTGCTTTTTCCATTATATTTTCTGACATGTGTTCGGGTCCGTGTGCGCTTAGACTGATCTGGAGCTCGCCATATTGGGTTCGGGCCCTGCGCGTGCCCAGATTCAGCTGAAACTTGCCATGGGTTCCGGTCCGTGCGTGTCCACTTGAGCTGGCGATCCGGGCCTACGCGCCACGCGTGCACCTTTGTTGTAACTTTGTTCAAGCCTGGAGACCCTCACCTGGCAGGTGGGGAAAAACAAAAAAAAACAAAACCCGAAGGTGGGGAGAAGATACAGAGACTTGGGTCTTGTCAGTTCGCGTTTTTCCATGTTTTGTATGTTTTTGTGTCTTCTGTTTCAAAGTTGCATGCCCAGAAAGGACATTAATAGAAGATCTGACGTGGCAGATTGTTCAGGTGAGATGCTGCAGAAGATTCCATCCTGACAGTTTGGTTGTTTCAGTTTTTTTCCGGCTTCAAGGTTTTTGAGCATTTTTTTGCTTGTCTATTGGCAACTACAATTGAAAAGTATTGAAAACGATGGAGCCCACGCAGTGTTGATTATGAATGGTGCATTCATATCAAGTGGAGGCAAAAAGACAAGACATTTATATTTGTTTCGTAGTTGTGTGTTTCTGTTGCTTTCTTCCTGCGGATACATTGTTTTTTGCGCACGCTGGTGGTCCCCTGTTCTGCAAGAATTTGGGTCGTTAGTTGCTTTTAGTGCCAAAGCAATGGCCATGCTGCGGGGCAGCCAGCACAGCAGCAAGGAACCTGCCAAAAATATTTCGTACACTTGGCATTCGTTGCGCCAAGTGGCAAACCAAGGGCGTACTTTTTGAAAAGAATTGTTTGCCACCACTTTCCAGCCGTTTCCCCAAAAAAAACCCACAACACATCTCCGATCATTTCCAACTGCCAGCAACCACTTCCTTATACTTCCTTTATACTGCACGTTGCATAGCCAGACGTTGCTCAAAGGGGTGGGCGGTGCGGGAGATCATGTTTGACCCAGACCTCCCATACAGCGAGCGGGAGGAATGGAAAGTCTAAACCTCAGATCAGATGTGTCCTCCTGAGGAAGGAACGGCAGAAATGTAGGGTCATAGGAAGTGTCCAAACATGTGGCGTTCCCCAAAATTGCCATGTTCAGCGTTTCAAACACTATAGATCGTCAGTTGAAATTAATTCGGTTTGCTTAATTTAAACGAAATAGAGCTGTTGAAGCAGTATGATTCAGGCAACGGTTGTGCTTTTGAACAAAAATCTTTGAAGTTGATGTTGTCTGATTTTTGGGGTTCCGGTTGCCAGGTTTGCCCCAAGGTTCTGTATGTTTGAGCGCGTCAATGAACGTTTGCTATTTCTTTCAATATTATTTAAGGGCTGCCGCCCCTGCCGCCGACCCCGGTAAAGAATCGGGGATTGCTGGTGAAACAGGCAAGCTGTGTGACGAGAAATTTTGGCAAATGCATCATCACATGCAGGATCATGCACGAAGGGCTATGTGCGTAACTGGTGCAGCTTTCGGATCAATTGCAGTAAGGTGCTGGCTGCATGACGAGACAGTTGAATTAGAAGCTTACTCTGAACCCAACAACACATCTATGTGCATATGGGCCAAGAGACATAAGACCAAATTGCCAAAAGCTATCATGACAAGAAAGCTCCAGCTTAGTTGGTGCTATCTTAGAAACCATGCCGGCGCAGCTGCGGAGTGCAAGCGCAGTGCTGGAATGTTGGCTGGCCGGCAATCGTGTCAACACGTCCGTGTGCAATGTGCTGCAGGTGGTGTGGGGCAAAGAGATGGGGAAGGAAAGAGTATTCAGGGGTGGCTTGTTGGAATTGAAACTGGTGTCCTGGTAGGGATGTCAGAGAAGGTGTTGAACGGTGGCAGGTGGTGAAAGCAGCGGCGCGGAGGAATGATGCGGAGGCAGTGAAGATGGTGAGCGGCTTTGTGTTCAGGGACTTCGGCTGTGAGCAGCGACGGTTGGCAGCTGTGTCTAGGTGGCATATTGTGGCGGTGGCTGATCAGTTGTCAGAAGCGATGGTATCTCCTTCTGTCAGGGTGGCATTGAGGTTAACATATTAATATAGCAATAGCCAACGGAAAAGCATCAAAATTGCGACCAAAAACTGCCTAATGTAACTTCTGAAACCCATAGAAAAGGATGATTTTTTAGTTACTTTTTCCTTCTGCTGCTGCTGCTCCTGCTCTTGCTGCTCCTTCTGTTCAAAAGACAGCTCCCGGATGGGAAAACACCATGGCAGTGAAGGACGGAAAAGCGTCAAAATTGCGACCAAAAACTCCCTAATTTCCAAGCTCAGAAACGGCGCCTCCGCCACGCTCAAACAGCAGGGCCCTGAAGGACGGAAAAGCATCAAAATTGCGATAGAAAAGGATGATTTTAGCTACTTTTTCCTCCTGCTGCTGCTGCTCCTGCTCTTGCTACTTCTGTTCGAAAGACAAGAAAAGTAGCCGTCTTCTAGCTTTCCAAGCTCAGAAACGGCGCCTCCGCCACGCTCAAACAGCAGGGCCCTGAAGGACGGAAAAGCATCAAAATTGCGACCGAAAACTGCCTAATGTAACTTCTGAAACCCATAGAAAGGGATGATTTTTTAGCTACTTTTTCCTCCTGCTGCTGCTGCTGCTCCTGCTCTTGGTACTCCTTCTGTTCAAAAGACAGCTCCCGGATGGGAATTTCCAAGCTCAGAAACGGCGCCTCCGCCACGCTCAAACAGCAGGGCCCTGAAGGACGGAAAAGCATCAAAATTGCGACCAAAAACTGCCTAATGTAACTTCTGAAACCCATAGAAAAGGATGATTTTTTAGCTACTTTTTCCTTCTGCTGCTGCTGCTCCTGCTCTTGCTGCTCCTTCTGTTCAAAAGACAGCTCCCGGATGGGAAAACACCATGGCAGTGAAGGGCGGAAAAGCGTCAAAATTGCGACCAAAAACTCCCTAATTTCCAAGCTCAGAAACGGCGCCTCCGCCACGCTCAAACAGCAGGGCCCTGAAGGACGGAAAAGCATCAAAATTGCGACCAAAAACTGCCTAATGTAACTTCTGAAACCCATAGAAAAGGATGATTTTAGCTACCTTTTCCTCCTGCTGCTGCTGCTCCTGCTCTTGCTACTTCTGTTCAAAAGACAAGAAAAGTAGCCATCTTCTAGCTTTCCAAGCTCAGAAACGGCGCCTCCGCCACGCTCAAACAGCAGGGCCCTGAAGGACGGAAAAGCATCAAAATTGCGACCAAAAACTGCCTAATGTAACTTCTGAAACCCATAGAAAAGGATGATTTTTTAGCTACTTTTTCCTTCTGCTGCTGCTGCTCCTGCTCTTGCTGCTCCTTCTGTTCAAAAGACAGCTCCCGGATGGGAAAACACCATGGCAGTGAAGGACGGAAAAGCGTCAAAATTGCGACCAAAAACTCCCTAATGTAACTTCTGAAACCCATAGAAAAGGATGATATTTTAGCTACTTTTTCCTCCTGCTGCTGCTGCTGCTGCTCTGCTCTTGCTACTCCTTCTGTTCAAAAGACAGCTCCCGGATGGGAATTTCCAAGCTCAAAAACGGCGCCTCCGCCACGCTCAAACAGCAGGGCCCTGAAGGACGGAAAAACATCAAAATTGCGACCAAAAACTGCCTAATGTAACTTCTGAAACCCATAGAAAAGGATGATTTTTTAGTTACTTTTTCCTTCTGCTGCTGCTGCTCCTGCTCTTGCTGCTCCTTCTGTTCAAAAGACAGCTCCCGGATGGGAAAACACCATGGCAGTGAAGGACGGAAAAGCGTCAAAATTGCGACCAAAAACTCCCTAATTTCCAAGCTCAGAAACGGCGCCTCCGCCACGCTCAAACAGCAGGGCCCTGAAGGACGGAAAAGCATCAAAATTGCGATAGAAAAGGATGATTTTAGCTACTTTTTCCTCCTGCTGCTGCTGCCTGCTCTTGCTACTTCTGTTCGAAAGACAAGAAAAGTAGCCGTCTTCTAGCTTTCCAAGCTCAGAAACGGCGCCTCCGCCACGCTCAAACAGCAGGGCCCTGAAGGACGGAAAAGCATCAAAATTGCGACCGAAAACTGCCTAATGTAACTTCTGAAACCCATAGAAAGGGATGATTTTTTAGCTACTTTTTCCTCCTGCTGCTGCTGCTGCTGTCCTGCTCTTGGTACTCCTTCTGTTCAAAAGACAGCTCCCGGATGGGAATTTCCAAGCTCAGAAACGGCGCCTCCGCCACGCTCAAACAGCAGGGCCCTGAAGGACGGAAAAGCATCAAAATTGCGACCAAAAACTGCCTAATGTAACTTCTGAAACCCATAGAAAAGGATGATTTTTTAGTTACTTTTTCCTTCTGCTGCTGCTGCTCCTGCTCTTGCTGCTCCTTCTGTTCAAAAGACAGCTCCCGGATGGGAAAACACCATGGCAGTGAAGGACGGAAAAGCATCAAAATTGCGACCAAAAACTCCCTAATGTAACTTCTGAAACCCATAGAAAAGGATGATTTTAGCTACTTTTTCCTCCTGCTGCTGCTGCTGCTCCTGCTCTTGCTACTCCTTCTGTTCAAAAGACAAGAAAAGTAGCCATCTTCTAGCTTTCCAAGCTCAGAAACGGCGCCTCCGCCACGCTCAAACAGCAGGGCCCTGAAGGACGGAAAAGCATCAAAATTGCGACCAAAAACTGCCTAATGTAACTTCTGAAACCCATAGAAAAGGATTATTTTTTAGCTACTTTTTCCTTCTGCTGCTGCTGCTCCTGCTCTTGCTGCTCCTTCTGTTCAAAAGACAGCTCCCGGATGGGAAAACACCATGGCAGTGAAGGACGGAAAAGCATCAAAATTGCGACCAAAAACTCCCTAATGTAACTTCTGAAACCCATAGAAAAGGATTATTTTAGCTACTTTTTCCTCCCTAACGTCTTTCTGAATTCCTAGAAAGCTGCTGCTGGTGCTCCTGCTGCTGCTGTTGCTGCTAGCAAGAGCACCTCCCGGCACCAAAACAGCAAGGCAGGGAATGTATTATTCCCTGGCGCGCTCCCCCTTGCGTCTGCCGGGGTCGGCGGATATATATATATATATATATATGATATACGTATATATAAGTTTTGATTTTGGTGACTTGTGCCTTTTCCCTTCTGAAAGAACATAGTGTCTTCAACAATGCTTACGTACTTCTACAAAAACGGTTCTAAAACACCAAAGGTCCTCGCGACATGTTACGCATATTCAGCAGGTATCTCCATTGCGGGGGTCCCTTCAAGTGACCCTGTGCTAGGCATTCACAAAATCCTGTTGCAAATGCCATATCGGTGCCCTCCGGTTTTCCAGCCCGATTCCTCATTGAATTTGTTGTTTGTGGATTCAACGGCCAGGATGTGACACCAGTTCCGCAGAACGATGGTCCCAGCCCACTGGCCGTGGCCGCCTAAGAAAGACCAGGGGAAGGACGTGACAAATGACTGCTCGCCTGCTCGTTGTTTTTTAAAGACCAAGCAGAGGGATGAAAGGGGCAAAAAATATAATCCAATGGAATTTGGTGAAAATTCAGCAATTCCAACGTAAAAGTTTTTGTGGGACTAGCTTAAAACGGGATTTAAACAACACGTGCATTGGGCAGTCTGAACCATGTAGATGTTATAGTTGATGAATCATCGTTGGATTATTGTAGGGTGTCCATGCCCTACCCCTTATGGATTAGGAAACCCTACTTAATGAAACTTAACCATTTTGTGGGGATTGCTCAGTGGATTGTTGATACTGCTTATTTCAGTTGTGGCTGGAGTTTGGATGAGATTTGTAATTGCTCGGAATTCGTTCTCAACAGTTTTTCTTGATGGAACATCAACTTGCCGGGATGGCAGTTGCCTTTGTGGTAGGTGTTTACGTTATCCTTCTCGGGGTTATTAAAACCACCTCTTCTCCGACACCATGTGGCGGGCCATCAATAAGTGCCCAGGTCATCAGGTATCCACCTGGTTTCGAGGAGGCCGCTTGCCCAAATAACGGAATTAGATATTCCAAACCTATGGGCTGAGTAATACAGTATATATCTTAATTATTTTGACGGGGTCCACCCCCAATTGTACTTACTATAAATCCTTTCCAAACGTCGCTTCGCAAGAGATGTTGCCAACCACCCCACCCATCCTTCTAAATAAGTGAGCCAAATGACGCTGAAATTACTTCCCCCGGGTAACCCCACCAGCTGGCATTCAATTTAACATATACGCACATTTTAATTGACATTTGATCTACAATCAGGGGGTTTCTGACATTTTGGTTGGGTTATTTTCTGGAAATCTATTTCACATTCACATGCTCTTTGACATTGCAGCTGGCAGTCCATCTGGCACTTTGTTTGTTTTTGTTGCTTGCATTTTTGTTTCATCTGACCTGCTGCAGACGAATTTAAATAATTTTACGATCGCACATGTCCTCACATATTTTCCGCTACCTTACATTTTATTTGGCATATCCAATTTTCATAACACTTGTTTTTTGCATGTTGGAATTGTTGTTGACGTGTATAGAGTGGCAGTCCTTGTGGCAGTTTATCTGGTTCTCTGGCATTCTACCTGGCATTCTGTCCAACATTTTTCTGCCTTTTTGACGGACATTATTTTGGCAATCTATTTCATGTGTCTTTCACAGTTTTACTTGCATTCTATCCGTTTTTTTTTCTAGCATCGCATTTGACATTCTACACACACACACACACATATATATATATATATATATATTTACACCTAGAACAACCGAGGCAGCAATAATTATTTATGCTTGGTGAAAAATTAGCTTTTGGAGGGGGCCAACCCAAAAACGGAGTTTTTTGTGATGGGATGGTTCCAGCAAATTGTGATGTTTTGAGCGGAATGGTGTTCTCTCAATTCCACAGGAGGCCTTCCCCGCATTAAGAACGCATAACTCATGCGTCCAGCTTGAAAACTTCTACCAAAAACGTGACAAACTGAAACGGCATACATTCCCAACCAAACGGCGTAAATGTCCAACCAAACGGCGTAAATCATTTTGGTTGTTTTCAATGCATATTTGGACTTTGACATGCTACATATCTGCCCACGTTCCCGAGGGTGTGCAAATGGGTGTGCAAATATCAAAAAAGAGCGAACAATGCAAGAATGGCAGCTGACATGGAAAGAATCCCGTTTTTTGGCTGAGACGGCAGAAATTACTGAAGCTACAACAATTTCTTTAGCCTGGGCTGGCGGAAGAATTTTTACCCAGCCGGCATGCCTAGGTATTTATATTCTATATATATATATTTATATATAATTCTTACATGTTATATGCAAACTTGTTAATTTACACATGGTATATACTCCAACACGTGTTTCACACATGTCCAGACATTGCATTTGACTTTTTATCTGTCAATGTATTTCACATCTTGCCTGGCATAGTGTTCGGGCCCAACGATGCCCTAAGAGTGTGCAAGCGCACGATATTGTTCTGGGCCCAACAAGGCCCTGAGAGTTGGCAAGCCCACCATAATCATAACTCGGCAAGCTGCAAGCAGATTGCTAGCTTACTCTAGGAGAGCGGTAGAGGAGGCGCGTAGGAGAAGGAGGAGAACAAAGCTGAGGTAAAGTCTATAGGGACCCTCACTAGGAAGGTCAGAGAAAAGAATTGTTTTTGGATCTATGACTTGCTAAACCGATAAGGACTCTTAAGATGTCGGTTACCACTCTGTTTATATCTTTGGTTTGAGCGCCCCAAGACTGGTACTTTAAACTGTTATGTGGCATTGGTCAGCCCTCTTTTTTCTTGATTCAAATTGCGTTTGCTGCTTTTGCTGCAACCCCCGGCTTGCGACCACAGGTGCATGGCTACTTCCGCGCCATCCAGCAGCGGAATGAGACCAGCCAACGGGCTTTGCAGCTCACGGCGCATGTCATCGAACACAACTCCGCCAACTACACCGCATGGTACTACCGTAGGAGATGCCTGAAGGACTGAGGGTTCAGTTGGGCTGGGTAAATGGGATGGTTCAACTGAGGGCGAAATGTTTCATGTGGTTCTTGCCATTTGATTCTTACATATTGTTGTTGTTGTTGTTGTTGTTGTTGTTGTTGTTGTTGTTGTTGTTGTTGTTGTTGTTGTTTTTATATATATATATACGATATACACGTATTTATATATTCCATTCCACATTTATCTTCTATTTATTTCTATGTTTATTTCTACTCATGTATTTACCAAACAACTAAATCTTTGCCTCTTATCTGTGCACCTCTCTTTTTTCATCCTCCTACCCCAGCTGTTAAACGGACTTGGGCCATGGGACAAGGGCAAGGTGAAGCTTGTAGGGTTTTAGAATAGCAATGAAGATTACGCTTGTTCCGATCATGATGGTGACGCTAAGTATGACAGTATGACGGTATGGTAAGGCTGACGGAACTTATGATGATGAGGGGGAGATGCGTGCTGAAGGATTGGGGGCCCATGAGGCTGGGAAAACCGACCCAGAAAGGCACCTTCATAAAGTTTATGGTGGTATATATTCCCTAGCATTATGTTCGAATTACAAGCACATCCTGGGAGAATTAGGACAAAATAGGGGCAATAAGGGTTTCCAGCGGCCAAATGCAATGAATTCCTCTACGATTCCTTCCTAATTTTCCGGAAGTTGTTGCCAATAACTGAAAAGTAGGAAAAGACAATTCATGCTTCCAGAAAAGTCGGAAAACACAGGGAAAAACATAAGGAAAAACAATGGAGGTTGCCAATAACTGAATTCCGAAATTTGGTTAGAATTTCGGGAAAACGGAAAATTTTGCAAAGACTTTGAGAATATTAGGAAAAAAAGGAAAAATAGGAGGTGAAAATCACGGGGTTTTGCCAACCTATTTTTCCCTTTTTAGACCTATTTATCCCTACCTTGTCCTAATTTTATTGTTTCCTTGATTTCCAATGCGTTCCTGGAATAAGCAGACATAACTTATAACCCTAACAAAAGCACTTCCGGCATTGTTGGAGAGGAGGATGGAGCAAATTGCAACTGTGCATTGCGTGTTTGTGAAGAAGTTGATGACGATGATGGCCAGGGTTAAGATGCTGATGATGGTGTTGCTCCGCTGATGATGTTGATGGTGTTCATGCGATGATGATGTTGATGATGATGACGATGATGACACTGACGATGACGATGACAACGACAATGATGACGACCATGGTGGTGATGATGCTGTTGGTGAAAGTGATGAAATTAATGATATTCTTGGGTGCTGTCTTTGTGGGGTTCTGCTGCTCGTGGACTTGATGATTGGTTGGCATCGTCGCTTTTGCCGTGCCTGTCTGGGATTTACAATATTTCTCACCGACCCTAACACAGATTGGGAAAACAAGCTTGTGATTCATACAACACATTTTGTTTCCCGGCGTTGTTCATTTTCAATGTCCATGTTCTTCGTGCTGCGCCTGGTATAGGAGCTAGCCATCGAGTTGGATGATGAGCGGGAATTCACAGACAAGTGGGCCAGAGACTGTCCAAAAAATTACCAGGCAACAGCAAGGAAACTTCAGTTTCCAAATTCCTCCACAGCTTTCATGGCTAGCAGCATGGCCAAGGCACTAGGTGTAAGGTCGCCGTCACATTTGGTTTCTTCATTGTTGCTTGCCATTCAACTGTACCTGTTTGAGCGGGAACATATCTCAGGAAAACCTGCTCCTGAGTCTAAACTTGGGGGTGTACAAATTAGATGATAGAAACTAAACAACCTGTTGCCTCGAGGTTTGGTGAGCAACAGGTGCGTCCAATAAATTTTCGACTCACATTGACATACCGACACGTGCGCGAAGATTCCCCAGACCCTACGCAGGTTTGGTATCACCGGCGCTGGTTGATTTCAGAGATCGCAGCCCGAAAGCGCGGCGAACGCGGACCGGAAGCAGAAGAGGAGATCCTGGCGATGGCGCGAGAGGAGTTAGGATATCACTTGGCACCTCGGTGCTGTGGGAATGTCGATCAATAGCGGTGGGTGACCGGTGTGAATCCAGCGTCCTGAGATATCTTAGATGCAAAGGTCACTATAGCCCTTGGAATCATACTGTGTCCTTTCAAGCGTCATTAAATTAGCTTTCAAGGCCACCAGGTTGATTTTGAATGTCATGGGTTCATTAGTGCATTAGCGCCACCGTGAAGAATGGTTGGAAGGCTATGCAAGGTATTGGGTCCCATGGTTGGTCCTTGCACACTTGTGGCTGGGTATTGGGTTTTCTTGCGTAGATTAAGTCAAACTCCTTTTTTTGTTGATTCAGATCCAGTCATACCGCGGCCTTTGGGTTTTGTTTCTCATCATCCATTTGTGGATGAAAGCGCTGCTGTGTGCGCCCAGGAGTGCATGCAGGTCAACAACGACTACAAGAATTACAATGGCTGGCAAATTGTCCTCAGCGGGATCTCGTTGGGAATCTGGGTTGATCTGCATTGGTATTTGTTTGATCTGAGGGCCAGTGCCTAATCAATATGTAGATGGTCATTACTGGGATTCCTGGCCGTCACGTGCTTCGATTCATTAATATTAGCCAGGGCAACCTGTGACTTGATGAGTTGGAGGGCATGCTGTGGTGCTTGGCAATCACGTTGGTTCTTGGTGGTGCCAGGCACGGGTCAGTTTACAGCCACATCTGTCATATAGCCACAAGCATCGGCCATCCTAACATGCTTGCGTCAAGCAGGCATAGAATTTAAATGAAGGCCCGCCTGGCCTTGACTATACTAGGACATCACCATTGCTTCGATTCTGGACCGCAAATTTTGGTCCCTGATCTTGAGCGGTCCCAGCCTACCCTGCACAACGCTAGCAAAACTTCATCGCCTTCCACTTGCAGCCTTCCATGACTCAGCCATCGCCCAACGCAAGGTCTCACCGCCAATTCATCTTGCAGCAGTTCGACTTGTGGCAGGAAGAACTCCCTTTTGTGGAGAAACTTCTGCAGGAAGACATCCGCAACAACTCCGCATGGAATCACAGGCTTCCTTATACAAGGAAAGGGAAATCATAATTGGATGTGGGAAACATAAACGTCCGGCCAATTCTAAGGTTGGGGTTTGGTTTCATGGCAAGCAAATTTGCCTTGATCATGTTCTTCCTTGATCCAGTCATTCCCTAAAGTCTCGAAAATATGACCAACCAGCGCTTCGTCTTGGAAGGTACACGGTGGTCCGCAATCAATGTTCACCTTTGACAGATGCAGTGCGGACCCGTGAGATCCAGTTTGCTATGGACTCCATCCGCAACTGGTCTCATTGGCCTTGCGATCAAAACTTGGGATTTGTTTCCTGTGTTTAAGTTGAATATGTTTAAAAACACCTCGCCGAGGAGTCGGCGGGCGGCGATGTCCCTCAAAAGGTTGCAGGTTCGATCCCCCGTTACTCTCATATCAAAGTCTTGGCATGTACCACCCAAGGCAAGTGCGCCAACAATGAGTGCGCTTGGAACTACTTAGCTGCCTACCTCGGTAAGGGAAGCGACAAGGCAGACTGCGGGAACTCATGGGAGCTCATGTGGCCACAGGTCAACTGGTGTCACAAGCCAATAAGGGGTTCGCAGCACATGGGAGGATTGGATACCTTTTGCGTCTTGTGTAGGAATGCCACTGATGACACATATCAATGTGCTTGCTTTGTTTGGCGGCCAGAGGAATCCCATGAAAATGTATGGTGTGAAAATGTCATGAAATTGACAACTCGACTTCAGTTGGCCACATGAACAAAACTGGTTCAGTTTGACAGGAACACTTGGTTTCCCCAACCATGTCATTGCCATTACCGGTCCTTGGCTTGCATCCATGGATGCAAATTAGACCCTCACCGATCGAAGGTTCCTTGGACCTCGATGCCCGAAGTCGAGGCGCTGTGTGGCGAGGCGTGGCCATTGTTGTTTACGTGAATTCCCGCAACATGAACAAAGGACCAATAGTGGACACACAAGACATAATTTTTGGCCGTCTGTAATTTTGTTCAAAGAGCATTTTCCCTTGTTTATAGAACATATTTGGCAAGTTTCACATTGGCCCGTCACGGGAATGTTTCACCATAAAACCACAGAATGAAAACATATCAAATGACAAGAACTCGCAAATTTTACCATGCAGCGAGACAGGGGATAAGACTAAGACGGAAATAGAGTTTTGAAATGTTTTGAAGACAACCATGTCAAGAAACTGCGGGGCACATGGGTGAAGACTTTTCGACCACCAGGACAAGACTCCCAGCCGTGAAATTGATGTGAATCAAATATCCGAACACAGTCGCTCACATGTTTTTTGTTCGCTAGATTTTGGCCAGAAACAAGGACCATGTTAGGCACTCCCCACTTCACGCAGACCCAATACAACCCCATTCCCCACAGGAAACGAAATACGATCTAGTACCATCATGGACCATTTTGTTGTTTGAAAAACAGTGCCTGAAAGCCAAATTGGGGGTTGTCCGAAGTTGGGGTACCTTCAGTTCCAATGAGTCTTCATAATTTTGACCTTTCAAGTTGCACTCTTGGACCCCGCCCAATTTTCAAAAAACACTTGATAATTATATTGGTGGCTTTCATGCCATGAAAATCACCATTTTATCCCACCCCATGGGTTTCTTTAAACCTTTTAGATTGATTTCATTTTTCGTTTGAACCCACCAATTCATTGCTGGTCAAAAAATGCAATGCTTGTTTTATCGTCACAATGGTTGTCCATGCTGGTTGACACTGGCACAGGTCTTGGAAGTGGCCAAAGCACAGGGCGAGTTCTGCCGCTTCGCTGCGCAAACCATGGCGGAGATTTACGAGGCGAAACTGCGCCGGGACGACGACGGTTGATGATGCAAGAAATCTTTGAAACAATGGGGCTGAAACCAACAATAGTATCAATAGTGAGATTTCCACCAAGAACTACATGGACTATGAGAATAGTATTCAACTGGGCGGATGGGGGCTGAAACAAGCCAGGTTTTAAATTTTAATTGTTTTTTTAATGCCATACTTTAAAGCGCTAGTCAATGGTAAAACAACATCACCGTTTTTTCACCGAGAGGTACTTTGCCAACCAAGATTGCGGCTTTACAATGGCATATATTGACAAATTAAACTTGAAACCGCATAATGTTTTGGTTTAGACGTTTTGGTTTAGAGCACCATTCTCTTAGTTATTTTTTTGGAGGAGTCCTCCGTCATTCTCCGGCCGCCTGCGAGCTGAGAATCGACACAAGGACACACAGGCATGTCATCGCCAGCCTCCTGCGCACAGCGGTTTTTTCTCATAGCGAGCTTCTGGGCTAGCCTTCTCTACATTCTATTGCAAGCTCCCCAGCCGCCTGGGCCCTGCCGGACCCGAACCCATTGCCAGACAACATGCCCTAGGATGTAAGATAGACTGTCAAATCGAATGCCACATCAAATGGCAGAAAGGATGTCAGACAAAACATAAGATGGAACGCCAGAAATATACAGAATGTCAGAAAATATGTCAGGTACAGTAATCCCATCGAGAATGCCAGACACTATGTCAGACAATACGTCAGATAGGATGTTGGCTATGTCAGATAATGTCAGAAAATATGGCAAATAGAATGCCAGATCAAATGCCAGAAAGACTGCCAGATAAAGCGTCAGACAGGATGCCAGGTAGTGTCGGAATAAATGTCAGATAGAACGTCAGAATATATGTAACAGATAAAATGCTTGTATATATGTCAGATTGAATGTCGGAATATATGTCGAAATATTCGTCACGGTGGGGATCACACGAAATAAAGAAATTTGAAGTGATGATTGGTAGCAAAATAACTGATTGGTCTTTTCCACCCCAAAAGAATGACCGTGTGAAAACAAAAAATATTTCAGGTTCCAGATCACACATATTGGGTTAGGTGATGACCGCGGGCACCTGTGCGGTTGTATCAACTCGTTCATGGCAGTGTTCTGAATGAAGATTTCACTTTGTGCCTTTTTCGGGGCGAATGACATTCACGGAATTTTGGCCCCCTGGTGGAGACAGGGGACTGAAACCGATTGTCGCAGCTGGAGAGTAGGTAATTTTGTCAGTTTAGAAAGTACGGGATTACATGAATTTCTGCTGTTTGTGAGTTATTATCCATCCTGGAATGCTTGATGTGGAGGGGGGCGGATCAGAATTTTCTATATCCGTTGATTCCGAGCGGATTTGTTGTTAGTGTGCGGTTGGGCCAGGAAGCCGAACATGATAAGACTTCCTTTTCTTATCCGTTTCTTCCCTCCGATGGGTCGGTCTGAAAGTAGAGCACTTCAAAATCGACTGCGTGTCATTTTCACCATGATGATGAACAATTTTGGTGGTACACCCATGGACAAACACCAGAACCCAGAAACACGTGGTTTCAGGCCAAAGGCGATGTTCCGAGCGCGCTGGCCCAGTACGAGCACCTGCAGGTCCCACATCTTTCGGGGAAATTAACAAAAATAGTTGCACCAGATTTCTTTGAAAAAACTGATTTCCGGCGACCATTCCAAATCTGTATTGATAGACGGTTAAAAGTTCAAATCCACAAAGCTGATGGGTAGACCCTTGTTGGACATGTTGATATTTCATGGTGTTTTGCCAGAAATTGAAATCACAAGCAAACAAAGGTTGCCCAACCTGAGACCAGTGAGTGAGTATGACACAGATGCAAACGTCAAAATGCCATAGACCTGTTGTCAGGGCGAGGACCGCATCCGCGAGAAGTACTGGTGCTGGCAGGCTGCACTGGGCACGGGGCCTTGTGGGGATTTCATTGATGGGAGCTCGAAGCGGGCGGTTCATGTTGCTGTGACATACATGACGACATAGGATATACGCTGACCACCCTCAACTGTAAAGTTCTTTCGCCGGAGGCTGCCCAGAAAGCAATGGTGCACCAGATTTTCCGCACTTGCAGTTGCCACTGTGGCACACCCACAAGTGTTGAACACATTCAAATCTTTTGGGGAAACATGTTAAAGATGCCGGCCGCATCCAAGATTGGTGAAGAAACATGGGACCCCATGGGATCACCAAAAAAAAGTTTTTTTGTTGCCCTTATGCCGGCACGAAGTTTTTCAAACTGTTTGTTTTCCTACCATTTCCAAATAAAGGAAGCAACATCTCTTGAGTTAGCGAAGATCAAACACCATTGGATGAAACCTTGGGAGAAGGAGTGGAACACGAGACTTGTGAGCCCAACGGACTCCTGGCTGGTGGTTCACATCTTTACTAATTTTCTCAAAATGAGATCCTGAGTCTCAATGACTACCATTGCCGTGGGGGGAGGTGAAGCCATCAACGGCAAGCAGACAGTCACTGCTTGTTTGGTGACTTAGTCAGATTCAGTCCCTGATTCCTCTAACAATCCGGCGCAAGGTGTGAGAAACAAATAGACCGACATAACTCCTTCCAACAACATCCAACAACTAACCAAGTTAGATAATCCCCAAGTGTCCCCGGTCCCTTGGCCCTATATCCGTGAGGCAGATTTGCTGACAAAATAACTGAGAGCTAGGCAGGGCGAAAAGCCTAAACCTGATGGCCCCAGAGAAAATGCGGGTGCATACCCAAGTGGGCGTGGCTGTGGGTGGTGGATGAATCCGTTTGGTACGGTTGGGGGATCTTGTTGTGGGTATCATTTTTGTTTTGTCAGGGAGCATCCCAAAAGATCCCGAGCCATATTTGGTCAGAATTGATTGTTGCTTCAAGCTGTGATACACAGGAAACAGATGAAAATCAAAACCCATGGAGACAGACCACATGATTCCACTGCAAATGGCAGAAGCCTAACCAGACCCAAACCATAGCAAACCCAAACCCCAAATGAATCGAACAGTTGGACACTCGAAATTCATCAATTTTGGATCCTGCCTTGAAGCCTTAGGAAAACAAATCTATTGACAGGTACAGTCACCAAAAAGAAACATAAGAAACAGGGTTTAAAGCATCAGGAGGACGCTTGGTCTATGTTGGGGGGTGCATCTCGAGTTTGCAATTCAAATGCATAAACCCAAATAAGAAGCACAGTATTAACCATTATAAAATGTCATTTATTTGGAAAGAACGTTAATTAGTTTTGCACTGCCCGCAGCAACTGGTAGGCTTAAGGGGCTCAGTTGTGGGGTTGGCCGCTGGGCGCGCTTTTGCCACCATGCCCAGCCGGGGCATGGCCTCCTCCCAAGCCATTTCAGTACCTAAGCTGGAGCATCGGAAGTCTCCATAATCAACAAACATGCGAACAAACAGGGGTGTAGTTGACGTTATCAGTGGGTATAGGTTTGGTAATCCACAAGTTTGGATATAACCGCTGTGACTAGCTATGTTTATACAGCGGTTTGTTAGTTGCACCCCAAGTATACACCCAACTAAAATCAGGATATATGTTGTGTTTGGTTCTGAAACAAATATTCCAGAGGTCCGATGTCGAAGTTGGGGCGATTGTTTCCCGAAATTTGGGAGCTCCAGCTGGATATTACCCGAATGACACTGAGGATATAACAATCCAACATGGGTGTGGTGTTCAAAGACTATTGCAATATCACCGCATGTTCCCATTATTAATGAGGGGGTTGATATATGTGTATATACATATATACATAATTAAATCTAATTATATGTAATTATATAATATTATATATAGTTTGTATAATTATATAATTATATGTAATCATGTATAATTAAATATATCTACCATATAGTTAATCATATTTATGTACGTGTGTATATACATATATATATGTGTGTATATATATTTATGTATATATATATGATATATGCATTTTATTTATATGTATTATATGTATACGTGTTTTGTATATACATAATATATATATATATATATATATGTGTGTGTTTGCGTTTATTTATTTATGAAGGGAACCCGCCCAAGTTTAAGCACCACATTTCAAGCTGCCACCGAACCAACTGCCAAAAAGAGTTCCAAGTTATGGGATGTTATGGGATGTTATGGGGGATGCATAGACATTGTTTAGGGTTCATCCTAGTGGGTGTTTGGTTCCGGTGATCCCCTCAGGGGTTTCAATATTGATGGTACCCAAGGGCATTTGATCACAAGTTTGCGGTAGTACACAGTCATGATTTGTTTACGGTTCACATTTGAGATGGCTTTGTTTCTCTGTTCATCGGCTGATACCTTCCGGCAATCAAGCATGGCAATGTACACCGTTCCCGTACTTTTCTTTGAAAACAGGAAATTCGAATTTAAAGGGACAGAACATGATAGCTTATAAATCAGAGAACAAACGGTAGCAGTCCCTTATGGACTTTATTTTTCAGATTTTTCCTTACCCTGTTTGATGACCATCGCGTTCCACGCCGCTGCAGGTTGGAGGTTCAGCCCTGGGCGCCTCACGCGGTGCTCATCCCACAGTGCGCTTGGATTCTTTCCTGAAGTCCACGGATCCCTGCTATCAACATGCTGAGGCCGGGAATTTCAAGAAGTCATGGGCTGATTCCGTAGCAACTGTTTTTTATTTTTGATGATATTATTTGTTTATATTATTCATACTATTTGGATTGTTTTGATTGTTTGAATGATGAAAGCTGCTTCGCCCCGATCAATTGGAAACTAGGGCAGGTTTTTTTTGAGGTTGCAGTCTCAGTAAGGGTTTTTCACCAACAACTCATACGGACCGGGCCTACTGTAGAGCTCTAGGAAGCACGTTTTGGGGAGGAGAGTTCGGTTAGTCCAGTCCTGGGTGCTGAAACACAGGCCCATGGTGAAAGTGGAAACATTTTTTTTTGTGTATGTCTCTTGTGTTCACTTTTTAGGAGCGTTATCTTGGAAAACAGAAACAAAAAAGGGCTGCTGAACATCCGTCCCGACACCCCATATGTTCCCCTTTATCGCCAAAACCTTGGGTGGTAATGATGGCATGACAATCCACCCACATATGGCGACAACTTCACAATGACAAGAGGCACCGACGCAGGGCGACCGGTTCATTCGCAAGATGGCCTGGAGCTTAGAATAAAGAGATACCAGTGCATACACATACACACTGTGAATTTGCAAGGTGTATGGTGCCCTGTTGCCACTCTTGTTGGGGAACAGGCAGACATTCCCCCTCTCACTGGTGCAGTTCAGTTGAGTCATTGGGCCGTATTTCAATTTGATCAGAAGTATTGGGGATGATAATCCCCAATGACTAATGCCTTCTCCTTAGTTTTTGAACTACTAAACACCCCAAGAACCCTTCGCTTAGTATTGAATCTTCTCATAGATTTCATTTTGGAGTCTCTTCTTGGAATTATATACATGTTTTGTTTTGAAGATTAAGGAGCTGAAGGAATATTCCTTCAATGGTTGGACTGATTAAACCATGTTAAACCACCATTTTTCATGTTGAAAGCCACAATATTCCTAGGAAGGGTTCAACGGATTGGTTGCTGGAGGCCACTTACGGTCAGATCCGACCCTCGGTGAGCTTTGTCAGCGAAGCCCGCGCAGTGCGCCCCATGAAGGATGCGACTTGCGGCCCGGGTTTTTGTCGATTGGATGTGATTAGTTTAGGGAACCATCATGAAGTATCAATACTATATCGATGTAGTAATATAACCACCTCAATACTACACTATACTATATATTTTAATATCAATACTGGTGGGAGAACCATCATGAACCCAATCAGTTTCAGGCTGGTGAATCATGGCCAGATGTTGAGCAGTATCCTTTGTGAAATCTGGAATGGGTCATCTTATATAATCTGGTTGGTGGTTCCAAACATTTTTTATTTCCCATAATATATGGGATAATCCTTCCCGTTGACTAATATTATGGTTAAAACCACCAACCAGACAACCTAAAGCAACATTTCTTACTGGTGCTTAGCAGGGAATGAGGGAATGATCCATGATCACTAGTAATTAATAATCATCCCAGCAAGCCCCATTCCCATCCATTCCCTACTAAGCACCAGTAAGATTTCGCTATGACAAAAGTGGGGCCTCTTGTTCAGGTTTTGGGTGCCCCAAGCTGGGCCACCGTGTTCTAATTGTTGGGGTTCAAACTGCGTCAGTCCGTGCGTGTAAGCAACTAACACCTTCAAATGACTTGAAGATGTGGAAGGAAAGTCCTCACAGAAACAGAAGATGCTGCTGGATTGATCTGGATTCAGAAGGATCAGATTGCAATGCAACCAGATCCATCTGCTGAAAATCAACGCCGGACATGAGATTGATTCAGGCAATTTTGGTTTGTAACTGTAGCCTATATAAACTATAGATATTTCATATTACACACACATATATATAATATCTATCCATTATACACCTAAGTTGACCCTAGTTAACCCAGTTCTAACTTAGCTACCGTGTCTTGAAGTTTCTCCAGCATGTTGAAGTCGATCGATCCCTTAGGTCCACCAAATCATCTGAGGATATCATTCGAACATACCGATTCACAGTTTGCCATGGACAATTCCCAATTTCTAGATGATTTCACTTCAAAAAAAACATGGTCATGTTTGCCATTGGATAAAAAAAAACCTGGAGTTTCCCATTGGATCCATTTCTGGGCGTCGCCATTTTGGGGCCGTTTGTCCAGGAGCATGCGGCTCTGGACATGTCCACCCTACCGAATCCGTTGATGGACCCCAGAGGCGACCCGCGGGAAGGGACCTTCGAGATCCCTGCGCCGCCGCCGGAAGTGGATGACTCCTTCATCAAGATGTGCGCCGGAAATTTGGAAATGACATAAAACAATGGGAATGATCTGACATGATGATGATTTTCATAGTTGATGACATGTCGTTAGATTAGGGGAGTTTAGGTCTGCAGGTTGCTATTTTCTTGTGATTTTATGGTATTTCATGGTATTTCATTGCATCATGATTGATGCTCAGTGTTTCTTGCCCATAGATGTTCTTTTTCTGGCGGCCTCCCGTGAATCTGTGCATGCTGATTCCATCCCAGCCCAGGTATCAAAACCATAGCTTGATGCTCCCCTCGGAGCGTTACAAAGAGCATCTGCAGCTTGGGCCGAGCCCATTTGCTATGGACATGTCGGAAAATAGAGTATTCCCCACAAAGTGGCTGCACGGGGTAGATAATTGTTTTTTGATCGAAGGAAGTTTAGAAGTTAAACTTCCGACAACATGGACAGATGAAAAGCAGAGCAGGGCAGAGGCAGAGAGAAGAGAAAGATTAGAAGAGAGAAGAGTAGAAGAGAAAGAGTCAGAAGAAAGAAGATGCAGATGCGCGAAAAGGTAGGAAAGTCGCGAAACACTGTGTTTTTCCAATGATTTGGGGCTCCGGAGGGTCGAAAAGTAGGCTCGCTAAAGCGGCGGGTGCGGAGCCAGCTGGCCAGATGAGAGATAAAAAGTTGCACGCCGTTGTGGCGCGAAGCACATTTCGAAGTCAAAACAAGGGGTTCGGACCACTTTTGGAAATTGCGATGTCGAAAAAGTGCACGCCGTTGTGGCGCGAAGCACATTTCGAAGTCAAAATGTACAAAACACACCAGGTCCGGACCACTTTTGGAAGTTGAGATGTTGAAAAAGTGCACGCCGTTGTGGCGCGAAGCACATTTCCAAGTAAAAATGTACAAAACACACCATGTACGGCGATGTACGGACCATTTTTGGAGGTTCAGATGTCGAAAAAGTGCATGCCGTTGTGGCGCGAAGCACATTTCCAAGTCAAAATGTACAAAACACACCATGTACGGACCACTTTTGGAGGCTCAGATGTCGCTTCGCTTCGGGTCACTACGCTACACTATACACTCCACTACACTACACTACAGTACATTACACTATACTACACTCCACAACACTACAACTACAACTACCGAACTACACAACTACACTACACTCCACTACACTAAATTACACTACACTACACCACATTACACTACACTCCACTACACTACACTACATTACACTACACTACACTACCTTCCACTACACTTCACTACATTACACCCCACTACACTCCACTACACTACAACTACAACTACGACTACACAACTACACTCCACTACACTCCATTACACTAAATTACATTACACTACACAACAGTACACTACACTACACTACATTCCACTACACTCCACTACACTACACTACATTACACTACACTACATGACCCTAAATGACACTGCACCTCAGATAGACAGGTAGACAGATAGACAGATAGATAGGTAGATAGATAGGTAGATAGGTAGATAGGTAAATAGATAGATAGATTAGATAGATTAGATGGATTAGATAGATTAGATAGATTAGATCGATTAGATAGATAGATGGATAGATGGATAGATGGATAGATGGATAGATGGATAGATGGATAGATGGATGGATGGATAGATAGATAGATAGATGGATAGATAGATAGATAGGGTCATTAGATCAAAGAGAGAGACAGATAGATAGATAGATAGATAGATAGATAGATAGATAGATAGATAGATAGATAGATAGATAGATAGATAGATAGATACATAGAAAATAGATAGGTAGGTAGGTAGACAGTCAGAGAAAGAGAGAGAAAGAGTGAGAGAGATCAAGCACCTTTCAGTCCATCAGTGGCTTTGCTCTGCCATCCCTGATTCACAACAACCAACCTCTCCTATAGGTTTCCTATTTTTGAAACTTCCGCCACCGCCTTGTGCGGTACTACTGGTAACATTTGTATATAGTATATAGCAATGTTTTTTAAAAAAAATCTGGGCACATCGTTTTTTTAAACATGGCCGAGCAAACAAACATGAACTGCCATGTTTTTCAATGAAGCCACCATTTACCCACTGGCTTGGGCCTCCAAGGTGTCCACCGCTGTTGTGCCACTTTGGTGCTAGGTTCCAGGTTCTATGTTAACCTTGCCCGGAGTATTTTTTTGATTGGAAATTTGGGGAACATGATGATTGGTGATGCCGTTGTTTCAGACAATTCCATCCGTCTTTTTCTTCATTCTGGACCCCACAAATCTTATTGGTGCTTAGTAACCTTAATAGGGAATGGGGGAATGAGCCAAAAGAATTCTTAACAATCCTCCCAGCCAGAAATCAACCCACAATTAATGACCCGTAACAACAATCATCCCATTCCATTCCCTACGCTTCCAAGGAAGATGAAAGCTGGTGAGCAGAAGTGGCGTGAGGAGCGGGACGCAGTCTTCCGCTACCGCAAGCGCATGCAGGTGCTCGAACGGAAGCATGCTGAGGAGCCAGGGAGAGATATGGGGGCAGGGGAGATGAATTTTCATGGTGATTTTGGGGATGGCTTATGATATTCATTCTTGGTGACTTGTATTTGCTCACATGCCTTATATAGTTCAATTTGAGATGTTCATCTGGTTTTCTCTTTGGGCTAGGTTTGGGTATAGGTTTAAGGTGTATTTTTGTTTGGGGCTCGGTAATTTCTTCGATGGGTTGATTTTTGGGCTGAGAAGGGCGGCAAGCCCACGGGCTCTTCGTCCGGGCTCTTCGTCCGTGTTTTTCTTTTTAAATCTGTGCCCACATAGTTTGCCGTCTGCGACGTTCCTTGGTCACAGTTGATTTGAGGGTCAACCAGTCCATTTAATGCGAATAATGGGATATTAATGGGATATTACTATAGGATCAGCTGCTTCAGTGTTGCGGCCATGTCTTAGTGTGTCTTCGCCACCGCGATGCTCCCAGGGCATTCTGGGCATTGATGGTCCGACACATCCAGACTCCATCCTCTACAAAGAACGCTATGAGCACTTTGCCACTGAGGCCTGGGATCCGTTGAAATCCTGGGCGATGTATGGCAATATATGGCAATATATGATAATTAAACATGATTTTCCAGAGTGGCTTTAGGGATGCCTGGCCATTTTCAGACCATTTGGGGGATGCCAGGCCCAACGGAAAGCGGTGAACGCGGAAAACCGCTTCACTCTTCTGCAAGACAAGACCTATTCAGATGCTCAGCTGCCTTGTCCCCTTGTTGGCTGCATTTGATGTTGCTTTCCCCAAGCGAACGGCTTGACTCAGGTGGAACTTTGATCACAATTTCCTGTGATTTTAAGGGTTGGTGGTTGAACAGTGTCGACCAGGCATGCAACATCCAGCGATTTATGTTTAATGTTTAATGAGCTAAATATGGGTAACACATATACATACGTAATTATGCATCTATCTCTATCCATCCGTCCATCCATCCATCCATCCATGCGTAACCATCTGGCGATGCCAAGGATGATGCCGTGGCCATGCGTGATTTCGGCTCTGACCCTGGGCTGGGACGTTCCAAGGACACGAAGCTGTGATGAATGCTGAGTGTTCCAGAAGAAATATGGCCCTTGGAAAGGGGGGTTAGTTGACTCAGTTGACGCTATATTAAGAGGGTACCGCATAGGATAACTACTACATTGATAGGGTTATAATGGTTATAACATGTTATAACCACCATAAGATACCATAAGGGATATGGACCCCCCTAGCCCCTAAATATACTTGTATACCCACAAAAAGATTGGACTTGAAGCCCCACGTCCTTGCCTAGCAAATTGACAAGGTACTCTTGTTGCAGTTAAGGCCCCGTCCAAGCCACCTACCAGTGTAACTTGACCCTTTGGAAGACCCAAAACCAGCGCTGGCAGGACATTTGCATCCAGCGCAAATGCATCGATCCGGAACAGCATCCCTTTCGTTTCCTGGACACTCACTCGCGCTTGTTTCCCAAGTACTCTCCAGTCTGGGGCTCAACATGGCTCAACGGAGGCTCAGCGGAGCCTCAACTGCTGGGTTTTTTAGAATTAGGCCAGCCCTTATTTTAGAATTAGGCCAGCCCATCGATCTGAAGTAACCCACGTTTGTTTTCTTTGGACCGGTCTGATGGACAAGATCATTTCCAGATCCTTTGAGATTGCGATAGATGTGCATTCCAGCTGATGAAAATCATGAGGAGGCCCCATAGGCTCCCACTCCTCACAGGGTCCTTTTGTGTTGAGGCATCCGACCAAATGCACCTGGCCAGAAGACTGAGTGATGTTAGAAGTTCCCCATTAAATCACCAGCTATGAGCAAGTAATATCCATTATGTTGTCCCCATGATGAATCATCATTACTCATGAATATCATGCTTATGAATCATTAAGAATCATTATGAGTCATTCTTAATCATAATGACATAATGTATCACACCGTCATACCCATGTTCAACCTTTATCACCCACCTACCAACCATCAACTTACAGAATTACCCACCCAACTTCCACTGAGACCTGGGATCCCGAACGCGCTGCAGCACTTCGGAGTGGGGATCCCCCAATTTTCACCGGATGGGGTAACGAAACATAACTTCTTTGGAGGGAATGAACAGTAAATAAATGTTTCTTTTTTACATGTGAAAAGTGGGTGTGCCATATTTTTTTGCATATACTACTAATGTGTTTCTCTTAATATATCTGGTTACGATTGGGCCAACTATGTTTCACATGTCCTGACGTTTCAGGTTGGTGAAAAACATTGCAACTTATCCGGAGGTATGTTCGTTTATATTCAGGATCCATATGTTGCGTTTTGGCTTTTCATGACTTTATTGGCCAAGCTGCCAAGCTGCACATGAATGAAAATGAAACGCAACATGTTTGAAACGATCGGAACTCACGGATTCAAAACCATAGTTGTGCCCATGAATGCAATAAGAAGTTGCAACGCAGACTAACATCACTATGGGATCCGCTTCAATTCTTTAATCAGGCCTTCCAACGCATCTTGTGCAGAGTAGACTTCGGGCACCGTGCAGTATCTTCAGAACATTGGGGGTTTTCAGGATTTCAATCTTTGAGCCTATGGTCACTGAGAAGCAAAAATCTATCGGCTACGGTCCACAGCCTTGCTCACATTCAACTTTCCAGGCCATGAAGTCAGAGTGCGGGGCTCAGGTTGAAAGTTTCGCTGGAACTGGCCATGTTTGTGCTCAGAATGCAGATCAACATGGATAGATTTATGGTGTCATGTACGTCACATGTCCAATTTACAGAGTTAATAGCAGGTCATTTGAACCTGCTCCTTCCTTGTTGGTGCCCATAGGACCTCAGAGAACATGGAGGGGTTTGTTCCCAATTTATGGTAATTACAACCTATAGCCCTAGTTTTACGATTTTTAGCCCATTTAACCGAACCCGTTTATGATGTTTATGATCCCAAGTGCAACTGCAAGTAAGCCACCAAAATCACCCCACTCCTATCGAAGATGCATGAAACTGAAACGTGTTTTGCCTTGCCTAAACTACTTGACAGATTCCCCCAGAACATTATGTAAGATCAACCCTCCCTCCTGACGAAGCCTCTGCTGTCCAAAGTCCAAAGGACCGTTGTCACAACATCATCAATGGCGCTGACAACACCTTGCAATACGAGGTGGCCAAACCTTGGGAAGAGGCGCGCCCCAAGCAATTTCTGACAGCAGTGGCAGCTGATAGTTCGCCTGTTGTGAGTGTCAGCCATTCGTCTTTCCCAGCCTTTTGTTACTGAATGGACTTGGGATGAGCTGGGTGATAAGGCTTCCCCCAAAATAGGTCTTTAAACAATATTTCTTCGGGAAGGGTTTTGCTGGTGTTGCCAAGTGAGCGTTCCCCCTATGTGAACCTGCAGTTTCTGGTCCTTCCGCTCGAGGTGCAGCAACAAGCTGTTGCCCGCAGGATTGCTGAAGCAGCAAAGACGGCCACACGGAGTCAAAACAGCCACGAGATCTGATCGAAAGTCGAAAGCTTGTCATAGATTTGTCATAGATTATAAGCCTTCAATCCAGACTGATTCAACATTCAAAACCAGTGGGGATGAAAAAACTTAAAAGTAGTGGCTTTAGTTTGTCACCAGACTTTCTCAGCACGTTTAGACTTTGTTTTGATTGATGTCGATGGTGGTGACTATTTTGGAGGCCAGAAACCGCCAGGCGGTACAAACCCAAGTGCACCAAGCAATCGCTTGTGGCTCTAATGACCCGTGACCCAACCACAGGCAGAAGCAAAGAAGTGCAAATCTGTCAGGTTGCAAGCTCACCCGGGGCAAATGGCATTGAAGTTGTGATGTGCAACGTGAATACGGTCCATCAGGGAAACTTTGAGGGAAGGTTAAAGCTGGATATGGATCAGGGAGAGCTCATAAGATCCCCGAATTTCTGGTTCTGAAGTGTCATGAAAATCTCCCACTTTTCACCCTGTACCTGTGTCACACCGTCACCAGCATATGCTGGTGGCTGCGGACTTCGCATGAATGGAAAAGGGATGGAGCGGCAACCTTGGAAAGTGCCTCAATTTTGAGATCTGCCCCGTATTGACCCTCGTGGCCTAAGCAAAGGCCAGATTGGGGGGGTCGGTTTGACATGTTTGATGTATGGCTAAGACTTCTAAGATTTTACCTTTTTATCTTGTGAAAGTGTGCTCCTCCATCCATGCAGGTTGCTTCAAGATATTCAATTTTGTTTGCAAAAGAAAATCTTCACAACTTCAGCCTCGCTGCAGTTCGCTCAAGCCATGAAGGGCTGGGGGAGCCGCAACCGCGGCGTGCCGCCCGCCAAGGGCTCTGTTGGAAAATTCGCTGGGGGCAAAGCTGCCAGCAAGGTGCCTGCCGCGGGCAAAGCAGCCGCAAAAGTGCCCGCGGGCAAGGGGGCTGCGGGCAAAGCGGCATCAGCGGGTGCAGCTCATGAGCGCTTGCGGGTGAAGTGTGGCCGGGTAATCGGGAAGGTGGTGCGATGGAGAGGCCAGGAAGGATGGATCAGAGACTCGGTCCATATGGTGGTGACTTGGGGCTTGGGGAAGGATGGAGCGAAATCTTCTACCTTTTAATTTTTCCGTTTGCAGATCACACTAGCAGCACCTAAAGCGCTAGCAGGTCGTAGATGTCAACCCAAATCCGCTCAACAACAAGCCAATCGCAAACCACGCCCACCAAAGGTAGGGGCCCAGTATGAATCCAGATTGGAACCCCCGAATCTGCATGGAGGGATTGTGCGCAGCCTAGTTTTCGGCTAGATTTGGAGTAGTACAGCTTTTTTAAGTCACAACCATGCTTCTAAATATTATAAATGCTATATACTTTCCAGCACCAGGGTTTCTATGGCAATGGTTGCTGTGTGCTGCCCAGCCGAGGACCGGAGAGTGCCATCGATCATCCCTTCAAGCTGAAGAACAACGGAGAGGTCTTCATTGCAAAAGCGGATGTGGGTGCCGGCCAGCAACTTCAACCAGGCAGGGACTTGATTAATAATGAAAGGATTGCCCCAGCAGATGTGGGTTCAGCGTTTTTTGTCAAACTTGATGCAACTTAAGCTCAAACATCTTCATTAAACTGTTTTTTTGCAGGCTGCAAGTTCAAAAACTAGGGGCCAACTGATGGGTTCTTTTGTTGCATTTTCATTTTCTTCTTGAACTTAAGAAGCATTCAATCTTCAACCAGTGGATTTGGCCAGGTGCTCGGGTGGATTTCTTGGTCTATTCCATCAAGGAAGGCGGTGGACGTTTGGGTGCCGACTTTTGCCGCCTCCTTCCCAAGGAGGGCGCCACTGCTGGCGCGGCTAGCAGGGCCAGCTCCGCTGGCGCCATCCCAGGTGTGGGGAAGTTGTCGCCCTTGGCAAAGGTGCGGGGCAGTGTGGGCACCACCAGTTCCAAGCTGATGGCAGCCGCTGCGGCCAAGCTGAAGTCAGTGGCCAAGGAGGGATCGAAGGATTCCGATCAAGCCAAGGGAGCCAAGGGTGCCAAGGGCAGCTCGAAGGGAAGCGAGGCTCCAAGGCAGGTGATCATGAAGGCCGCACCAAAGTCCAAAGGATCCAAAACATCCCAGGTAGGGCCCCAAGGGGTGCAGAAAACTCACCTGAAATTTGTGAAATCCACGAAGAAAGCGCATGAGGATGGCAAGGGCCATGGCAAGGGTGGGCATGGCAGCTTCGGTGACAAGGAGCGTACCGTGGTGGCTCACATCCCGCGCCTGGGAACCATCACCAAGTGGCGGGGAAACTACGGCTGGATCGAGGCGGATAAGGCCGTGGACCATCCACAAGCAGCTCGGAATCATGGCCGGATCTTCCTACACATCAAGGATTTTGAGGGAGAAGCAGTGAAGGAGGGAATCAGAGTCACCTGGCTGTGCGTTTGTGTGCGTTTTTTTTCTGGAGGGGGCATGCATATTATATACATATAAAAAAATATACCCATTATATATATATATATATATATATTCATATGTCCACCTGTATGTGTCATATGTTCAGAAAAGAATGCATATGTGTGTACGTCTAGTGTGGTTCAGTGGGTAGCCTGGGGATATTCAAAACAATAATGTTGACGAATACTGTATTGTATTTTCTGAATGCTGCTTGGTGTCTATGTTTTTTGGGGTCCCAATTAATGAACGCGGCTTAACGCGATTTTGGAACCAGCGGCCCCACCACCAAGCTGAACACTGGGTCGGGCCTACCCGAGAGCAGCTCCCAGGTCACTTTTTCAGTGTATGTCCTCGCCTTAGTTCTCAAATTCAGCACATGGAATCAAGTTGTGATAATCTGCCTGTTTTTTTTCTTTTGCCGGGGGAAATGTGCATGACTCCAATAAGAAATGCCAACATCACCCATGTCGCTTGATATGTTAATTGTGCTGTTTGATACCAGGAAAACCCCTGGGGGGAGCATGAACGGTTTGAACTGGGGTATTTCGAATAAAACCTCTAAGTTCTCGTTGGTGACTGAAGCCCCAGTTGTGGTTTCAATCATGTGCTATGTTCAACTCTATTTGTGAGGATAATTCCTGTAAAAAAAAATGTATGTTTATTTATATATATATATATATGGCCCAGCCCTGCCAGTCATGGTCCTGGTCCTGTATGTACGCTGTATGTTGGATGCTATAGTTGACATGTCGCTAGCATAAATGATCGATGTAGAGTCTACTTTACCCCCGGCCCCCCCCTGTGGGGGTGGGTGGGGGCTGGGTCGTATGTGGCCATCCTGTAAATGATCCATCTAGGGTCTACTTTACCCCCGCCCCCCTTCCTGTGAAATGGGTGGGGTGTTACAGAGGTATCATGCAGATAGTGTATAGGTAGTATGTGGCTAGCACATATGTATAGCAATGTATGCACATGAGATCTTGATAGTAGCTAGTATATGGCTAATATAAAGGTACTTCATGGGCAGTAATACGTTGTAATTAAATAGAATGACGAAAGGTGTAGCTTACCCCCCCCGTGGGATGGGTGGGGGTGTTAAAGAGGTATATCATGTAGATAGTGTATAGGTAGTATGTGGCTAGCATGTATGTATAGCAATGTACAGATCATGAGATCTTGATAGTAGCTAGCATATGGCTACTATCAAGGTACTTCATGGGCTGTAATACGTTGTAAATAGATTGCATGGGCATATTATAGGCAGTAGTGAACACTGCATGGAGGTATCCTGTTATGTAGTGCATAGGCATGTAAGTATACCATATGAGCATATGAGATCTTGACGGATGGTGGTAGATGGTTGGCCGCCCCCATGGGGGTGGTTGCGGGGGGGGGGGGGTGGAAAGGGAAAGCATTGGGGGGGTTGACGGGCGCTGGGTGAGACCATATGTATATGTATATGTATATATATATATATATAAATATATATGGTCACCCCCCCCATGACCCCATTGTCTGCTTCATACATCAAAAAACACTGGAAAACACAGTGTTTTTATTACATACACTGCTTCAAAAATGCGACCCAAAAATACTTTAAAAAGTAATTGATAAGACTTATAGGAAACCAAAAAACAAAAAACTCAAAAAAAAAATAGACCAACAGGAGAACCCAAAACCAAAAAAACAAAAAATAAAAAACCAAAAAAACAAAAAAAACAAAAAAAACTATACCAACAGGAGACCCCAAAACCAAAAAAAAAGCAAAAAACAAAAAAGACCAATAGGAGACCCCAAGGTGAAAGGACAAGAGACAGATGACTGTGTTTTTTTTGTTTTTTTTGTTTTTTGGTTTTTGGAGACCCCAAAACCAAAAAACCAAAAAACTAAAAAAAAAATAGACCAATAGGAGACCCCAAGGTGAAAGGACAAGAGACAGATGACTGTGTTTTTTTTGTTTTTTTGTTTTTTGGAAACCCCAAAACCAAAAAAACAAAAAACCAAAAAAAAATAGACCAATAGGAGGCCCCAAGGTGAAAGGACAAGAGACAAATGAGTGTGTTTTTTTTTTGTTTTTTTAGTCTTTGGAGACCCCAAAACCAAAAACCCAAAAAAGCAAAAAAACAAGAAACCAAAAAAAAAAAAACAAAAAAAAAAGACAAGACCCAACACTCTGCATCTGACCCCCTCCCCTTGGGGTGTGCAATCTTTTGTTTTGTTTTTTTTGTTTTTTTTTGATTTTTTGTTTTTTTGGTTTCTTGTTTTTTTTTTTCGTAGTGTGTCTGAACTTTTTTTTAGGTCTTCTCGAGGTTTTGGCCAAACTGCAAAAAACCATGGAAAAAAAACAAAAAAAAAGTTCAGACCCATGTCCCTTGCCAGGCCTCTCCCCAGACCTTGGCCATGGGTCTGAACTTTTTTTTTTTTTTTTGTTTTTCAATTGTTGTTTTGCATGTTTTTCATGTGAAGATGCTTTCATCACAATACCTCTCAAAAAAATGCGTGTCTCTACAATTTGCACACCTGCGCCCCCCAGTCCAAACTGCAAAAAAAAACATGGAAAAACCAAAATTCATTCAATGACTTATATAATGATTAATATAATGATTAATATAATGATTAATAAAATGATTAATAAAATGATCAATATAATGATTAATTTAATGACTAATATAATGATAAATAAAGTGGCTAATTTAATGATTAGTATAATGATTAGTATAATGATTAATATAATGATTAATATACTGATGCATATAATGATTAATATCATGCATTTAATGACTAATATAATGATCAATATAATGATTACTGTAATGACTGATATAATTATGAATTTAATAACTAATACAATGATTAATATAATGATTGATATACTGATGGATATAATGATTAATATCATGATTATTATCATGATTCATATAATGATTAATGTAATGATTAATAAAATGACTAATGCAATGACTAATATAATTAATATAGTGATTCATATCATGATTAATATAATGATTAATTTACTGATTAATATAATGATTCTTACAATAACATAATGATAAATATAATTATTCATTTCATGATTCATTTAATGACTTTTCTATTGACTAATATAATGATTAAAATATTGATTTATGTAGTGGCTGATATAATTATTAATTTATTGACAAGCATAATGATTAATATCATGATTCATAGAATGATAAATATAATGATTAATATTATGATGAATACAATGGTTAATATCATGAGTAAAATAATGACCAATTTCATGAGTTTATATATCATGAGTAATGTAATGATTAATAAAATGATTAATTTAATGATTAATTTAATGATTAATTTAATGACTGATATAATGATAAATAAAATGGCTAATATAATGAATATTATAATGATTAGTATAATGATGAATATAATGATTAATGAACTGATGCATATAATGATTAATATCATGATTCATATAATGACTAATATAATGATCAATTTAATGATTACTGTAATGACTGATATAATTATGAATTTAATAACTAATATAATGATTAATACAGTGATTAATAAAATGGTTAATATAATGATTAATATCAGGATTATTATCATGATTAATATAATGATTAATGTAATGATTGATATAATGGCTAATACAATGACTAATATAACTAATATAATGATTAATATAACGATTCATATAATGATAAATATAATGATTCATTTCATGATTCATTTAATGACTTTTATAGTGACTTATATAATGATTATTAAAATGATTTATGTAATGGCTGATTTAATTTTTAATTTATTGACTAATATAGTGATTAATATAATGATTAATTTAATGACTAATATAATGGTCAATAAAAAGACTAATATAATGAATTATATAATGATTGATATAATGATGATTCATTTAATGATTAATATAATGATTCATATAATGATTTATATAATGATTCATATAATGATAAAAATAATGATTCATATATAATTCATTTAATGATAAATATAATGATTCATTTAATGACTTACATAATGACTAATATAATGACTAATATGATGATTAATGTAATGACTGCATGGAAAAAAGTGCACTCCCACAGTGGCCAGCTCTCAAAAAAAGAGGAAAAAAAGGGGTGTTAATTTACCAGGAAAGGACTACATTAAAACAAATATCATGATTAGTATAATGTGTTGCAAGTCGAGCTATTGAAAAACGGGGTCGTGGGGGGGGGTGAGCATATATATATGTATTTGTGTGTGATTTTTTAATTACATTTATATATATACATATGTATATATATATATTTATATATGTATATATATGTATATATGTGTATATATATATATACATATATATATATATATGTATATACATATGTGTGTGTGCGCGTACGGATATGTATGTATATATATATATATACACCATATATCGTATATATGGGCTACTTCAGCCACCAGCCCGCCAAGTAGTGGCACGCATCTTTCCACCGAAAAATCGAGGCGGATGGAAGTGGCTTGGGTGCCATGAATTGCAAGCCCACCCAACGATCTGGTGAGTCAGGCACTGGCAAGGTGGGTGCCCGGATGCCCATGGTTGGGGTTGATGGCAGTTTACACCAATGGGGATCCACTGATATGGGTGAAGAAGTTTCTCAGTTGTGACCGTACCTCTGAATTCTGGCAATCCAGGTTGAAACTTTCTTCAAGAGAGAAGATATAGATGTATATAAATTTAGGGATAGATTTAGGTATAGGTATAAAATGACATAGATGTTTACATATGCATACATGCATGCATATGCGGACATGACATTCACTTTTCAATTTCTTCAACATATATCTATATTCAAAAGTGTGTGGCCAGCGACTTTTTTTAAACTGAAAGCGTACCTTCTAGATGCCAGAAGAAAGAAATCTAGCATAGGGAGGGCAACCTATCAAGATCTCTCAGTATAATTGGGGCGCAGCTACCATGTCACTAGTAACCCACTTACGCGGTGTCAGCGGACTTATCCTCCAACACATATTATTATGATGCTTAAATCCAAGCTTCGGACGGTATAATCACCGTTTCCGAAAGTTTTCTTCCACCCGCAGGGTCCCAGTTGTGTGGATGTCAGGGTTTACATGTCCACAGACACCAATATAATGTCAGACCATTTCCCTTGGTAATTTGGGTTCCCCCCAAGGATCCAAAGATGAAATTCCAGTTTTTCACGGGTAGATCCTAGGGCTCTGCCAGGTCATTGCTCCCAAAGCGCGGCCAATGACCAAGGCGTTGAGGTGCATGAACCAATTAAAGGCGTTAAAAGTGCCTCAATTTTCCTTCTGGGATCCGGGGAAGCTAGTGTTTTTTTTTTGCGCCCTTGGAGCTCTTGGGTAATCCCACCATGTGGGGAATCTACTACGAATATTGTTGATTGTTTGTGGTTTCCCTTCGGAAAATCAGAGACAATCATTAACGACATGCTGCAGAACGGCAGACGACACTGCAGAACATTCCGGAAGAATTTGAACCCATGATGCAACGCCTCCTGGCATCAGTTTGCATCAGTGACATGAGCTGCTTGCACAACTACGTTTCACTGTCTCAGGATATCAATGGGTTTGCCTGAAATAGCGGACCCCTAAACCCAATGATTCTACAATGAGCATGCTCCCCCTTAAATGGCTATAATTGGGGATATACTACTTGGGGATATAACCTATGTTCAATCACACCCAACAGAACTAGTATCCGATTAGCTTTGGGTGCTTTTCTGAAAATGTTACCCGGGACTGTCAGGAGTCACCTTGCCGAGCATTTCTCATGGCTTGAGCCTGGAAAAGTGAACCTACCAACAAGTTCCAAAAAATGTGACACTGAAATCACAGCGCAGGTCGGAGGGCCCAAAGGAACCCAGTTTGCCGCCCTTCTGGGAGAAGCACTTCTCGGAGCAGCACAAAATGCCCTACTTCTGGAACTCCAAGACCAAGGACCATGGATCCAGGGATCTGACTATTTTTTTTTGCAGAGACCGAAACTATGGATTAAATTCCCAGGTTCATGGTTGAACGTGGTGAAGGATGGGAATGCATGGTTTCTCCAGAGGATTTTGGGTGCGAAGAGTTTAAGAAATAGGCAACCCCAATGACTAGACCTTCCAGGAAGTGTTCCAATGTTGCATCATAACAAAACATAACCGTTGAAGCCGGCAGTCAAGCTGCAGGAATCGAAATGGACGAAGCCATCCAAATGAATGAAGAGGGCGCTAAGTCCCTGCTGGTGCTTGGTTGACTTGGGCCTGCCCACTGTTTGTCATTGATTTTCGGTATGTTATGTTGACATGTTGTGGTAAATACCATTTTTTGGCTTGCAACGGAGCAATTTGCTGATGACAAAGGTTCTTGACATTTGACAGGCTCCAGATGATGTGGAAAAGACATGGGCAAGGAGATGCCCAGACTATACAAGACTATCATCCTTTAACGGAGGAAAAAAAATAAATAATCTACATATACCAACAAGTGTCATATTTACCTCATTGTTTTAATGTCAGGGAAATCAAAGAAATCAAATGCCATTCGAAAGCTTAAACTGAATGCATAGATAAATTCACACACACACATATATAGTCATATATAATCATATATAATCATATATAATCATATAAAATCATATATATATATATATGCATGCATGTAATTAATTGTATATATATATACACGCATATTTGATGGCATGCATGCACGCATAAAAAGATACATAGATTGATAGATGACTAGATAGATAGATAGATAGATCGATAGATAGATAGATAGACAGATAGATAGATAGATAGATAGTTAGGTAGGTAGATAGATAGACAGATAGATAGATAGTTAGGTAGATAGATAGATAGTTCTATGGATAAACAGATAGATAGATAGATAGATAGATAGATAGATAGCTGGCTAGCTAGATAGATAGACATAAATAGAAAGATAATTTTATGGATAGATAGATAGATAGCTAACTAGATAGATAGATAGATAGATATGTAGATACGTATATATATATATATATACGCACATACATACTGAATTACAATAAATTCATAAATAAATAATGAATGCCTGCAATGTTGGGGCCATGTTGAGCCTATGTTGAGCCCATGTTGGGCCAAGATGCACGCGTAATTTTTGGATGTTTTTGGGTTATGTCGGCGCCGCGTTGGGCCTATATTGGCTTTATATTGAAGCATACGGGATTTGCTAGTATATTATAATCTTTTAATTATATATATATATATTATATTATTCTTTTTATTCTATTAAATTGGATTTAAAATAATAATTAAAATAATTCCAAAACCAAATTATTGGGGTAATTTATGGAATAAATAATAATATTAATACGAGGTACGGACAGATGGCAAAAAATATTGCTTTATTTTTAAGAAATTATCAAATAAATTTAATTTTATAATATTATAATAATATGTTATTTATTATTATTATTATGATTATTATTTTTTAAAATATTAAAACATAAAAATTAAATTATATTTTAATTAATAAATATATAACTTAAATAAATTATTAAAATACATAAAATAATAAATATGAAATAAAATAACAAATAAATATTTAAACATATATTAAATAAAATATTAAAATAATTAAATTATCGACGAAAAAATAAATAAACTATTAAATAAATTATTAAATAATAAATTAATATCGTTAAGCACGAGCAGGAACTTTTGAGGGAGATTTTAAAATGGGTAGGAAATTGTTTGGTGATTTTTTTTTTTTGTTTGGGGAATTTTTTTTGGATTTCCGGTTCTCACCATTTTCCATGCTATTTGCAGCATTTTGGAGCTGGAAACTGCCATTTCCACGGTATGTGCAACGGTTTTGAGTTCGAACCTCTCATTTTCCATTGTATTTTCCACGGTATTTGCAACAGTTTGCAGCATGTTCTGTCCATTTTCCATGCTCTTTGCAACATTTTTGAGCTGGAATCTGCATTTCCACCGTATGTGCAACATTTTACAGCTACATTCCTCACAGTACTTGCAGGATTTTGGAGCTGAAGGCTGACATTCCAACAGTTGTTTGTTGTTACTGTTACTGTTGTTGGTGTTGGTGTTGGTGTTGTTGTTGTTGTTGGTGGTGTTGTTGTTGGTGGTCGTGTTGTTGCTGTTGTTGTTGCTGTTGTTAGTGTTAATGTTAGTGTTGTTAGTGTTGTTAGTGTTGTTAGTGTTGTTAGTGTTGTTAGTGTTGTTAGTGTTGTTGTTGTTGTTGTTGTTGTTGTTGTTGGTGTTGTTGTTGTTGTTGGTGGTGTTGTTGTTGTTGTTGTTGTTGTTGTTGTTTAGTGGTGTTGTTGCTGTTGCTGTTGTTAGTGTTGTTGTTGTTACCGTTAGTGTTGTTAGTGTTGCTAGTGTTAGTGTTGTTAGTGTTGTTAGTGTTGTTAGTGTTGTTAGTGTTGTGTTAGTGTTGTTGCTGTTGTTGTTGGTGGTGGTGTTGTTGTTGGTGGTGGTGGTGTTGTTGGCGGTTGTGTTTGTGTTGATAGTGTTGTTGTCGTTGTTGTTGTTGTTGGTATGTTGTTGTTGTTGTTGGTATCTTGTTGTTATTGTGTTGTTCCAGGAAAAGCAAAAAAGCAAAGAAAAGCAAGAAAAGCAAAAAAGCAAAGAAAAACAGAAAAACGAGAAAAGCAAAAAAGCAAAGAAAAGCAAGGAAAACAAAAAAGCAAAAAAGCAAAGAAAAGTAAGAAAAGCAAAAAAGCAAAGAAAAGCAGAAAAGCGAGAAAAATAAAAAAACAAAAAAGCAAAGAAAAACAAAGAAAAGCAAGGGAAGCAAAAAACCAAAAAAGCAAAGAAAAGCAAGAAAAGCAAAAAAAGGAATAGAAGCAAAGAAACAGAGAAGTACTGCAGGAGGCAATAGAATAAGCAGGAAGAAATCCAAAAAAAAAATCCTAAATTAAAAAAAAAAATCCCTAAATAAATGGCCTTCCCAAAAAATTTCAGAATCTTATGTAAATTTCAACCCCGTTTCCGAATAATAAATTATATTGTTTTTATATTTTAATTTAGAGGGATATATAGGAATGGCGGATCTAAATTTATATTTATTGATTTGGTGAAAATAAATTCGTAAAATAAATTGGGAAATATTATTTTAGGACCTCTTATTATATTGAAAAATGGTGCCTAATATATTATTGTGATTCGGTAGCACGTAGGAACCGAAGCCAAGTCCTACCACACGAAGTGTGAGCAAAGCAAGCAGCGGGGCAACCCTTTTGGCGGGGCTGCAGCGCATGTAGCCACAAAGGCTGGAATCCTAGGATGTCCTCTCCCTAGGGGTTATTGGGCCAGGATGGCCACATATGAAACAAGTAAAATTCCAAAACCACAATTGCATGGCATGAAATTCACACCGGTGGAAATGGAAGTTGGAAAAAGAAAACAGGCACCTGCTACCAGCTATCGCAACCTACTGGTGGTTTCACCAGGTGGGGCCTGGTTGTCAGGATACTGACCCAAGCAGTCCACACAATAGGTACACCAAGTCCTATGAAGGATCTGTCCAGCCGTGCGATTTCTCAGGCACTGATAGCTTGCATGCCAGGCTCTTCCTTCGGCTGTGAAGTAGATCTGTTGCTGGCACGCTTCAACGATCGTTCTGCGGCGATCGTGGTTGAAGTCTCGGATGATGGTGGTCAGGTTGTCGTTGTCGCGCTCCAACTCACGTATTTGTTGGAGATGATTCTCCGATTCTTCCTCCAACCCGATGTTCCTGAGCAACAGGGCATTTAGATCGTTGATCAGATCATCTTCATTTTGGATGGCCACATCCTTGGTCTCCAGGGCTTTTGCCTCTTTGAGGCTCATCACCTTCCAGAGATTTACAAGGATCGCCAAAAGTTGGCGTGGCACTGCCGCAATCCAACGGCACATGGACAACAGTCCAGCCAGCACCAGAATGCCGAAGAGCATTGCAGTGATCGTGGTAGTGAGCTCGTACTCGGAGTCGTTGGTGTCCAGAATGTAGGTGAAGTTCATCTCCTGGTCGTAGGTCTCGACAATCTCGTAGGGCATCGCTTGCGTCGCAGCAGTGCAAAACGCTGCAAACATAGTTGTTGCTGTAGTCATCGCCGTGGGCTTACTGATCGCATACTTCTCTGCCCCTTTCTTTCTCTCTGCTGCTGTCTTTTTCTTGCTGGCGACAAAGTCCTCGTCACTCTTGAGTCGCGTGAAATGGCTTCTCAGGCGATCTGCCAGCAGTTGGCCCGCACTAGCCTTTGTAAGGCCGTCAGAATATTGTAACTCTGAACTCACCCACATACTTCCTGCTCCGCAGCATTGAAATTTGTCTTGAGTGACCAAGACTTCAATTGCGGTCCTCTTGTCTGTTGAGCTTCCAGCTTGGATCTCCTTCTGTGCTAAGAGGTCGAAGAGGGCCTTCGCGTCCACAATCAGCTTTGGCTGATTTGGTAGCTGAGCAGTCTTTGGGTCGTCCAATTGCAACCAGGGGCTCCAAATCAAACGCCAGAAGGTCGTGGCAAAGAGGAGGGCGTCTGATGCCTCACCAGCAGTTTGACTTTCAGCAGCCAATGTCGATCTGGAAACTCTCGCTAGCTTCCAACTTCTCCAGTCGATGACATTGTAGGCTCCTTCTCCTCCAGTCGTCACATCGCGATGGACCATGATGAGGAAGTAGCCTCCCTGGCTTGAAAGGTCATCTCTTGATGCAAAGGATGCATCAGAGTATGCTGCAAAGGTGATCTCCTCCTTGGGGCCAATGTGGCGAAACTCCAGACCAACGTCAGAGTTCTGTTTTGCAAACCTAAGGCATCGGTTTGCTGTGTCCAGTGTTGAGGTTGTAGCTTTTGACACCTGGTCAGCAAGGGTTGACACCATACATTGTAGGTGTGGGCTTGATTGAACAGCAGGCCATTGAAGTCCACCGATCAGTCCACGTAGGGCTGTCTTCTCGCGGTCTGTCACCTCCTTGTTGGATCCTTGACGTTCCTTCGGGTAGGTGATTGGCTTCTGTTTTGTCAGGTACTTCTCATGGTGGATCTTCCAATGGTTCTCACCAAGTTTGGTGATTTGGGCACCACAGTATTCCAGCTCGTTCTTGTCATTGGCCGTCACCCACTCACGGAAGTTGAAGATGCCCTTGAGGTTCTTCAGCAGGATCTCGATGTGCTCGTCGTTCTCGTCGTAGCAGCCGAAGATGTCGTCCACGTGGATGCCGAAGAGCGCCAAGAGTCGTGGTTGATCTTTTCCTTCAGGTGGTGGTGGATGTATGGGCTTGTCGAAGGCCAGGAAAAGACAAGCATCGAGTGGATGTTGCACAATGGCACCGTTACCCATGGTAAGAATTCTCTCCGTTGCCTCTTCAAACCATGCTCGGGGAGCATCACAAAGTCCATACATGGGCTTTACCAGTTTCATCAGCTTTCCATGTCCTTCAGGTAGTCCAAGAAGTTGTTCTCCATCTTTTGGAAGTTTC